GTTAAAAAAAAAATCTTATGTTAAATTCAAAGTGAAATTAATTATTAAAATTTTATTGTAGCATGTTAATATTAAAACATTATAGTCATAGTGAGAGACTCTTAAGATTAAAAAAAACTTTTTATTGTATATTATACAACAAATATAGAAAACTGCATAAAACACATACATAAATTAATGTCTTTTTTGGTAACTACCACCCAGGTCGAGAAATGTATTTGCCTTCCACGCTGAAGCCTCCACATGCCCCTTCCAATCACAGCCTTTCCCTCTGCCACCCTGACCTAGATAGCAGTTGAATCTTTGCATGACTTTATAATTTTACCACCCAAATGTGCGCTCCGGAGCACTATCATTTAGTTGTATTGGTGTTTTTCTCGTTCAGGTCTCTTTTAACCTGCGTGTCTTCGTGCCATTTCTCTTTCCCCTTTCTTTGTTACAGTTTATTTGTTGAAGCAGTCCGGTGTTTGACTGATACAGATTCTGTAATCTGGATTATGCCAGTTTCATAATTTTCCTTCGTATTCTGTGTTTCCTGCAAATTGGCAGTCAGATCTAAAAGCTTGATCAAATTTAGATTTTGTTTTGTTTTTTTTGGACAGGAGCACTTCCTAGTTACCGATGTCCTGTACTCTCTCTCCCAAGGGATGTAATGTCTGGCTGGCTCTCTTTTTTTGATTTGAGCAGCCACTGATACGTGATGCCTCAATCAGTGAGTTTATTAGGGCTTGCAAAATGGGGATATTTGAATTCTGTTACTACTCCATGTAGAAGGTGGAATGCTTCCATAAAGAGAAACTTTCCTTCGTCTACTGTTTGATTACCCAGTGGTACAGTTCAGTTAGGAAAGGCAAGGTAAGTATTTGCTTCTTTATTTATCAGGTTTTAAAATAATACATTAGTTCCTTGTTATTTCCTGAAGGTGGGCAACGAGTTCTTCCTAAGTGTCATTATGAACCTGTTGATTCAATTAAACGTTCATGCTCTCGTATAGATGCTTTGGAGGAACCTTACTTAATAAATGCCGTGAATCTTACAAACGCATGAAATGTGCCTTAGTGATCACCGCTTGCATTTGCATTATATCTGTTTAAATGTAAAATCAGCTTGTTGAGGTTTTGAGGAGGGTTTTATGTAACCCTCAGAGATCAATTTCTGATACTGGTTATATTGCCCTCTCTTTTTTTGACCAGTCTTGCCCTGAGTTTTTAAATGTGTTCTTTTTCTTTAAAGTCTGACTTTTAGTTTTGCTTTACCTCTATTGAGTGTCTTTTATTTCATCATTTTTTGCTTTTATCTGTATTCTTTTATTCTTTATAATTTCTTCAGTTAATTTTGTTCTTTTTCTATTGTTCAGATGATGAATTTTCAGCCTTCTTTTTTAATGTGTGCGTTTAAGGTTAGAAGGTCCTCTAAGCACTGCTTTGGTTGCATCCCACAGGGTTTTGATAGGTAAACTGTTATTTTGTAAGCATATCATTGGATATGTATATCATTCATTTCAAATTTTTAAAATTTCTTTGACCCGTGACATTTCACAAGTGAATTTATTTATGTCAGTTACCTATTGTTGTATGACAGACCACTCCAAGTCTTAATGGCTTAAAGACAGTTTTTTTTTTCCCCCTTAATTCTGTGGGTTGCTGGTTAGTTCCTCTGCTGCTTTCAGCCAGAGGGTTGGCTGGGATGTTCACATCTATGGTTGGTGCTGGCTGGTGGCTGGGGGGCCTTGGTTCTCATCTAAACGACTTTACATCATTTGGTAGGCCAGACTAGTTCCTCACATGGTAATTGCAGGTCAGCATTGCAAGAAGCCAAGGTGAAAGCAGAAAGGCTTCCACCATATTCTGTTGGCTAGAAAAAGACACAAGCCTGGCCCACATTCAAGGATGGGAAAAAAGATTCCTCCTTTTTAGGGATTTGTCTCAGTATTTAATTTACCACAGTTTACAAACATTTGGAAATTTTTCTTGTGTTTTTCTTTTGCTGTTGATAACCAGCATAATAAATGCTTTGTGGTTGAAAATTAGAATTTGGAGAACTTCTGTGCAGCCATGAGCTTGATAGCTCCCCAGTGCTTGAGAACTTTCTGATAAGATTGGTCAACAATATTAACAAATACAATTTTTTAAAAATATTGTCTAATATATTTGGAAGGTCTACTTTATAACTCAGTGAACCAGTATTTTCCAAATGACTAATGCATGACCTTAGAAAATTTTGAATGGGTAAAAAGAGCCATTGAAAATGTAGTGTAGACCAGTGAGTTTTATTGTATCAGAGTATAAGTTTATTGCTGTGATTTCAGACTGCATTAAATCTTATAACATCACAGGAGAGTATCCACAATTATTAGAATACTCCTGTTTAACAAATATCTATCTGTACTGAGTAGGGAGGAAAAAATGCAGACTCAGATATGAGAATTCATTTGTCTTCTATGGAGCCAGACATAAAGAAGATTTGCCAAAATATGAAACAACGCCACTTTTCTTACTAAGCGGTTTTGTTTGGGAAAATACAGATGTTTTTGCAAAAATTTTATTTAATGTGTAATGTGTTTATCTTTAAGTGAGTAAATATTTTAAAAATTTCTAAGGTTGAAATTCCATATGATAAATACCCATATAACAAAAATAAAAGTTTTGAGGATCCTGAGACCACAGGTTTGAGAAACACTGATCAAGAATAGTTCCTAGCATATAGAAGGCAGCTGTGCACATCTGAGTGATTCTTGACCGCGTCACTTTTGTAATTTACCTGGCTTTTCAGTAGCAGATGCGTTTGATAGTGTGTCTTTTCTGTGTGTGTGTCTTCTACACTTCAGCAACCGACTTGTTTTTCTGTATCTTACCCTGGTCCTGTGATTCTCTTTTCCTTGCCTCTGCCCAGGCAGGGCTCTTGGGCAAGGCAGTGGAAGGACTGATATGAACTGCTGTCATTTTGTAAAGTGTGCTGATTTATTGAGCGAGAAGAATATAGATGAGCAGCTCCTGACTGAACAGGACATCGATGCTGGTATAGTAGACTGGCTGTATGAGTGATCATGATTCACATAGTCACAAAATTAGATTTAAAAATAACTCCAGTTGGTTAAACCCTGAAATATAACAAGACAACTGATAGTCAGTGATTGTTGTAGATATTACAGATACCTTGCCATTTAGTGTGCATGTCGGTAATATATTTCGAACACAAAAACTTTTATTTTAATGGATTTAGTGGATAAATAGATTTTTTTCAGTAGTAGAACACACAGGAGTAGAAGACATGTCTGTTGTAGAGCCTTTTTAGTTTCATAGGATAAATTATTAAGAAAAGGAAAATACTGAATTTTTGGTACACTTGAATCTGTCTACTAGTAGATCTTGTATTTGAAAGTAAATTAACTTTTTTCCAATCTTTAGCATGGCATTTCAAGTGAAAAAAATGTAAGCTGTTAAATAGGATTCTAGTATACTACTCTAATTTATCTTAATCTGTGTGAGTTATGTAGCTGGAATCTTCAAAACTGAGGAAACATTAAAGAATTCTTCAAAAAGAGGAATTTAGAAAGCCTTATAAAAGGTGCTCGTAATTAACTGTGCATGCTTGAACGTGTATATGGCAGGCATTTTCTGAAACAGTTTTGCCATCTCATGAAAATTTAAAATGAGATAATCCTGTAATACAGCTGAACTTAGAATCAAAAATAACCCCAAGCACTTTAAAAATGATGGCGCCTACCAAAGTGTAGTTTGCCTTTCTAGCCTTACTGAATGACCTGGTGTCTTATTACTGAAAATGTTCATTCTACAGAGTTTTTGGAGCTCCACTAGGTGTTGAACGTAGTGGGCTGGGTGATACATGAGCCCTGCGGTGGGCAGGGAGATGTGCTCCCCACATTCCCTTCAAAGAAGGGCTTACTGTCCAGCTGTGAGGAATGCAGATCATCAGGTAACCCCTTCCGCACACATCTTAGAGTCCCCCTTAGCTGCAGAGCCATCTTCCCCCCAGGTCATGACTTCCCTGGAGCAGCATGCATTTGCATACTGTGCTGGAAGGAGGTTTAAAGACTTGACCATTTCAGCTCAGGACAGAGCGCTCTGATGGACAGACAGTACTTGCTGTAGGGCTCCCTGCCCGGCTGGCTGAAATTTTGTTGGGCCTACATCACAGCTTGAGTTCTGCCCAAACTTCCTTTTGTCACCTTCCTTTCACAGACATTGATCTCTAATGAACACTTTGTACTCCAAACACCACCTCACCTCTGCTTTGGAGAGCCAACCTGCAGTAACTCTGATCTCATGGAACTACCTTACTGGGAGGAGACAGAGATTTAGAACGTGATCAATGTTATGTAGAAGCATGGCGTGCTAGGATGGTGTGTATGAAAAGAACTCAAGCCTGATATTACAGGGTTTAGGGAGAGAGTCTGGGTTAGTAGTGAGACCCGGCTTCAAGTGCCAGAGTCACCTGGGAGCTGCTGCTGACTCTTCCAAGACAGTGTTTTCGTTTGTAACAGGGAAAGGACACATGAGCTCTCCTGTAGGCAGTTAACCTAGGATTGCTCACATGGCTGGGAGAAGATTTCTAGCAGCAGGAGAGAGGGCCCAGGGCATAAACATCTTTCAAGCCCTTGCTTGTGTCAATTTGCTGATGTTCTGTTGGTTAGAGCCATTCACATTGCTATGCCTTAATTCAAAGATAGAAAAACAGACTCCACATTTCCATGGGAGAATTTGTAAAATAAGTGTGTATGTGTTTTTTTTTTTAAATTACCAACATAATACCTGATGCATGATTGTAGTAGTCAACATGTACTGAGCACTTCCTGTGAATTATAGTTAGTAAGAGACAGCTGGACTATTGCATTTAACATAGTCTATCTCAGGCTGACATGTAAAAGAAGAAACTCATTTGGAGAATCTGATATATTCTTTTGATATCTTAAAATAATTTTTATGATGGGAACAGTTTGCAAGTAAAGCTCTCTCGCTCTTTTTTCTTTTTATTTGCAGTAAGAAGAATGGAAAGCCATCATTACAGAACAATGAGGTAAAATTTTAAAGCATCTACTCTTTAGGATTTCATGCTTTTGTTTCATTTATTTCATTACATGTTTTTGCGTTAGGATAAGATCATGGATTTTTAGAATTAAAGGGGAACTTAAATATCACCTCCAATCTGCTACGTATTATAGAAATTCTTCCTAAAATACGAATCTGTGTAAGGTGACTTCTGGTATTTACGTGAACTGGTTCATTTCATGGCAAGTGGGAGTGCCCGGGAGGCAGCCGTGTGTCGTAGTTCCAGCCCATGACAAGATTCACCGTCCCTGTGTAGCCTCTTAACAACTGACTCTGTTTTGTCTTTTGTAGAAGCAGGACAGGTTTACTCTGTTTCCTCTAACAGACTCTTGTATTTTTGTAAGATAGTTGTGTTTTCTGAGTCCTTCTCTCCCACACCAAACAACCCTAATCCCGCTAAGTATCTCTCACGTAACATGGCTTCTGACAGTTCTTCAGTACATAGGGCGCCCTCCTCTGGGTCTGTACCAGGTAGTTCTCTGTACATTATGCTTAGAATAGAGTGTGCTCGTCCAGATGTGACTTGCCTAATGTGGAATGCCTTGGCACTGTTACATCTCTTGATATGAGTATCATATTGCTAAAATTCAGCCTAAAATTGCTTTTACTTCTTTAGTCATAACTGCTTTACATTAAGTGGAGTTTATGGTCAATTATAACCTTAGGTACCTTTCTGGTGAACATCTCTGTTGACAGATTTCCTACATCCGTATTTTATCAGTTGATTTCTTTATTTCTTTTTTAAATAACAGCTTTATTGAGATACAATTCATACACAAATAAAATCCATCTGTTTAAGTATGCAATTCACTGGTTTTAGTACGTTCACAGAGTTGTACAGCCATTACCACTATCTAATTATAGAAAATTTTCATTTCCCTAGAATGAAATTCCATACCCATTAGCAGTCATTCCTCATTACCCTCTCCTCCTGGCCCCTGGTAACCCCGGTCTATTTTCTGTCTCTATTGATTTGCCTATTTTCGGCATTTCTTAGAAATAAAATATGTGGCCTTTTGTGACTGGCTTCTTTCACTTAATATGATGTTTTCAAGTTTCGTCTGTGTTGTTGAGTGTATCGGTGTTTTATTCCTTTTTATTGCTAAATAATATTCCATTATATAGATCTATCACATTTATTTATCCATCAGTTGAGGGAAATTCAGGTTGTTTCCCCTTTTTTGGCCATTATGAATAATGCTGCTATGAACATTCACGTACGAGCTTTTGTGTAGGCATATGTTTTCATTTCTCTTGGATGTATACCTGGGAGTAGCATTGCTGGGTCATAAGGTAACTCAGTTGTGTTCTTTCAAATACACATTAATTTATCCCTGTAAATCTCAGTCTGTAGGGTCTACTAGTCTATTCTGTGGTATGTCTATTCTATTAGCGTAGTTTTGAATGTAATCCTAACATCTAGTACATTAGGTGGAAAGTGTTACCTACAAATTTAACGTGCCTTCTCTATCTTCCTCAATAGTATTGACTAGGTTAGGACAAGAAAATTCCTCTGTGGCATGTCTTGATGTTTGTTTTTATTTCTGGTTATGATTTATTCAGCTGTGACTATATCCAGCTGTAACAAAATCTGGTCTTTATTTCTCCATTGGAAGAGCACAATAGTTTAATAACATTAAGTTCCTTAGTTTATTAATTCATTTATTAAGTCTTTCAACAAATACTGATTGAGCCCCTCATATATGCCTGGCATTGTTCTCGGTTCTGCATGTACAGCAGTTATCAAAGTCGGTTCCTGCCCACATGGATTTATGCTGTACATGTCAGCTAATGTACTAGGTACAGTATCCTTAAAGAAGAAAATCAGAAGGGTTTCATGTGACTTATTTGTAGTCGGCTCAGGCTGGCTTCTAGCGATTCGTGTCTGTCAGGTCTTCCCAAGCCCCCCATGTCAATGTCTGTTCTCTGAATATTCTGGAGATTGACATCAAAAGTGCTGTTCTTTCGTTTCCATAATGTTTGAAAAATGGGGCAAGATGTGCTTATCTCCAGTCTTCTAGCAAATCTCCATCTTCACAATCTCTCATATCTAAATTACACTAGTGATCAAACCTTAGTACCTGAGTTACAGCCGCTATCTGCATATCATCACATCTGCAAGCTCTAGGACATCACTGCAACTATTCAGTCCAGCAAATTCATGCACTCATTTTAAAATTCTTTCCATTTTAGGTACAGTTTTTAAAATGTATACTTGTTTGCTAGTCATATGGTATAAGCATGCTAAATTTAGGATAGATTAAATGATTGGCAAAAAAAGGATATAAGACAGTGTACACACTGATACCAAATATATAAAATTTATAGGAAGTGCACACATAGGCATATGGTAAAATGAACTTTGGTAAGATGTGCAAATATTAACAGTTGGTATCTCTCGCTGGTAGCGTAGGCTTCTTATTTTTGCTCATCATATTTTTCTATAGTGAGGATGTTACTTATGAGGGGAAGCAGTTAAAAAGGGACTTTTTTTCACTGAAATTTTTAATAATCATTGGTGAGATGGGTTGGAGTGTGATACTTTTCGTAAGACAAGATTTAAGGAGAAAAGATTTAATAGAGTTAGAAAATAGTATAAAGAGATAGTTGACTTGATTTTTAAAATATTTATTCATTTAATTTTCATGTAATACACAGGGTCTAAAATTCAAAATATATAAAGGTACACGCTGCTGGGCTTGATATTTAGCATTCCCATGCATATTTTTATACTTTTGGAATGTGTGTGTATATATATATATCTGTGAACAATATAGGTAGAATTATTTTGCATATTAAAAATTTTATAAATTGAATCATTATATGTATCATTCTACCTTTTTTCAGTATGATTTCTTTAGATCCATCTTTGTTGATGACTAGATCTAGTGAATTTTAACTGCTCTATACTATTCTCTTATATGAGTATGAGCTGCTTCCTTTTCTACAGTTGTGCAGAATTTTCATTGCATAAATTTACCATGATTTATGTAGTATGCCATTGTTGATGTGCATTTATGTTTCTAATTTTATAGTATAAAGCAGTGCACAAGTTTTTTTCATTTATGTGTTAACCGTACGTGCACGAGTACCTCTAGGATAAGTTTCTAAAGGTAAATGTGCTGGGTTGTTTCACATTTTACAATGAGTGTACATTTTACATTTTGATAGATGCAACAGAATAGTTTAATCAGTTTACACGTTCTCTAACAATATTCAGAAATGCTTACATTCTTGTCAGCACCATAGCCTTTCATTTTACTTGCTATTTCAAACATCTTTTTCAGTCAGTTCTAGTTCATCTCACCTTTTTAAGTTGATTTGACACATCAGCGGGAACTTCTCATTGCTCTTGGACCTTTGTTGACTCCTGAATGTTAAGTACATTCTGGTTGCTTTATTACTTTAACTTCTTAGATGATCTTTATTTAATGATTGCTTTTCCTATGATTTGCATGTTAGATTTGTATCATTAAAGTGGGGTTTGTTTTGTACTTTTAAAAATTACTGGGAAGTTTAGAGGTGGGAAAAGTCAATTGTGAATTTAAAATGAATTCTTAGGAGAGACTAGTTGTGTTTATGAAATGCACATTCTCTGTAGGTGTTTGCATTTAGATTGGTTTCAGGCATGAGTTTTACTATGTCATCAAGGGTGGTAGAGCATCTTGATATTCCTTCAGCCTTTCTGAGGCAGTCCTCCAGTCCAGGTGTTTGGTGTTTCCTGACTCTAGGAAGTATATAGTTCTTTTCATGGATTCAAATGTAATGAAAATAATAAAGTTAGCTTTCAGACAGCTTAAGAAATAGGGGCAGTGACAACAGGAACAGAAGAAGAAGACGAGGAGGAATTACCTACCAGGTAAACTGCTAATTCTATACCAGGTGCTTCGTTGTTACTGACTTAGAGCTTTTTTTTTTTTTTTCAAAGCTTCCTGATTGTTTGCCCTAGATCACTTCTTGAGAGCAGCTAGAAATAGGTAGTTCTCTGTTTAAATCAGAAGATGGCCATTTTCCCTTGGAATTATTCTGTCCAAGGCTCAGTCTAGGAATGGAGGAGATGCTGCCTGCTGGCGGGATGAGCTGAGGTAGGGAGGCAGAGACAGGAGGAAAAACTTGAGAGTACAAGTTTAACTTTTTTTTTTAAAAAAAGCATTTGATGTGCATTGCCTTCTCTTTATTCTTTTCTTCCTATCCTTTCTCGGTTTGGGGAATTATTTAGGTTGAAGTTACAAGGTTTGGCTTGAGGAGAGTAGGCTAGCTAACGTAAACAGACAGTGAGCAGTGCTTTTTGTCTGTTTTGTTCTCTGATGCGTCCCCCATCATTGGGCAAGTCATTCATTATTGAATGAATGAATGCATGTAGATGCGAATGAAGTGGACTGGGCCTATGAGTCAGCTGGATGAAGTCTGCACCCTTCATAAGGTTTGAAAGACCTGAACTCTGTTCCAGCAGTTACAGGGTCGGCTGGTTCTCATCCAGTTCTTTCTTCTTCAGATCTAACTCTACACACTCTGTCTTCACACTTCCTTCCTTGGTCTGCAGTTCTGTACTACACACAGTGTCTGTTAGGATCACAGATGTGAAACACGTAGCACAGTGTCTGGCATAGGGGTGGCAGCTTATTATTATTCTGTTTCAGTACACAGACTAGTCACATGAGGTTTATCAAGTTAGACATTAGTTTCATTAAAGCATATTTATACCTGTTTGTCTAACTAATAGAGTTTACAACACCATGGATATTTGTTTATCAAGAGTGCACTAGTTAATAAATACGTGAGCTGTGGTTACAGGCATTGGGGGAGGGGCTAGGTTAGGGGATGGGGTCCTTCTGTAGAGGCGTGCCTGTTCCGAGAAGTTTCTCCTGGCTGTTCTTCCAGAGAGCCCAGGGGTAATAAAGCAAATAACCTCCACCATGCCCAGTTCAGGTCACTTTTTTCCTTATCCTTGCAAACTGTTTTATGCGTCTGTTTTCATGGACCAGTGAAAATGCAGAAATGTCTGAGGGTAATAAGATGAATTACTGCTCTAGTGGTTACGCTGCACACTGACAACCAACTCGAAATCCTGTGGCTTCAGGGCTCAGTTCTTCACAGGCCCTGCCCACCTCTTCGCTCCGCTCATTTTGTCCCCTCTGCTCTGCAGTGGTCCGGTGTGCACACCAGTTTTACTCCTGAACTGGGCTTTGTGGTTGGTGTTCCTTGTGCTTTACCACCCTCCCCCTCCCGAGGTAATCACGGGACTACATTTTATTTACGTCTCCGCTTAACCATCACGTCCCAAAAGAGACTCTTACCATACTTTCTGAATCATGCTTTTTTTCTCTCACGACCCTGCCTTGTCTACCTGTACCAATCTGTTTGTTGGTTTATTTTTATGATTCCTCTGCTAGAATGTGAACTGTATGAGTGAAGGAACCTTGTCTGTGAGTTTATAAGGAAGAGGAAGTGAATTGGCAGATTGCATACTGGAAACACTAAATGATAAATCTAGGAATCCAAAATTTTCCTGAAATTGATAGCAGGAAAATTCCTGTTCAGGAGTTCCACAGAATCCTGCTGTTGGCCAGGAGGAGGATAGTGAACAGTGAGCAAGCACGGGGCCCGTCCTCAGCTGGCCCTCCGCCTGGCCCCCCGCTGCTGCCCGGCCCGCGCCCCGGCCGGCCGTGCGGCCTGCGTACCGCCCGCAGCACAGGAGCCGGGCTTCCACCGGGTCTGGGCGCTGGCTGCTCCCTCCAGGCGCAGTGCCCTTCTGCCGCAGATTTCTCTGGCTTCAGAGCTTCTTGCTTCATTATTCAGTTTTTGACAACACCTTATTTTCCTGAAAGCATGTTTGAAGATGAACAGTGTAGGCCTGTGTTCTTTGAATGTGACAACCATCTTGATGGTTGTTTATGTTGACTTAGATGAGACATAGTTTTTTAATCTTACTTGTTATAGCTGTTTTAAAGATTTGTTGTTGTTTTTTAATGTAGAAAGAGGGGAAAAAAGAGCGAGCTGTGGTGGACAAGGTGTTTTTTTTGAGGCTCACGCAGATTCTGAAAATCATGATCCCCAAAACATTTTGCAAAGAGGTAAGTCTTATGAAATTACAATGTTAAGTGTTGAACTTGAAAGGTCACATGATGTAATTTTATCTTTAAATCATTGCCTGTCCTACAAGTACCCTTGTTAAACAGTGCCAGTTTTTAAATAGTGTTTTCTTGTTCGTATTTTATGTGAGATACTAGAATACTTCAGCACAGCTACCCTGTCCAGGACTGCTTTATTATAACATGATGAAAACAAGGTTTAATTTAGAAAGACAGATGTTTTTATCGCATTAAGATGTTAACAAGTCACATTAATGTGGAAGATGTTCAAGGGTTGCTTCTTCATATTTGATTAAATATGTTCTTAAGATACCTAAATGATAATCTGAATTCAAGTATTTTCAGGAAGTGAGCTGGTTGTAAGAATAAAGTCTTGTTATCCCCTCCTTTGCCTTTTTATCAAGATTATTTTTGTCATTATTTGTTTGTATTTTTAATGACTAAAAAAATAATGCTGTGATCTCCCTCCTTAGTCACCTTGGTATTCTCCTTTTATACACTAAATACACCATTTTTGACTCTTTCTCCTCCCCATACTTCCCTCATCCTTTCAGTCGCTGGTGTCTGCTAATTTTTCCTTCTAAACATTTTTGGCTAGATACTACAGTGTTCTTTAATTAGTCTCATTCCAAAGAATCTCCCCCTTTTAAATCTTTTCTGCCAAATATGTCTTCTTAAAACATAATTGTTCCCCATTGTTCAGATTTTTAAAAGCATTAGCCTCATAATCTGTTGATAGCAGGAAAAGGCTAAGACGTTCTGAAGCTCTGAAATTCTCCGAGACAAGGCCCACTCCTCCATCACGCTTGCTCTCCTTCCCCTCACGTCAGCATGATGTCTTGTTGATTCCGCCTTGAGAAACTAAAAAATAATTTAATAATATTTTTCTCAGTTAGGTAGAGAATAATATGTTTCTTAAGGAAAAATTAGAACATGTAGTTATTTATTTCCCTCGGTGCCTAATTAGCCTCCCACTCAGAGAGAACCTCTGTTTGCATTTTGGTGTACAGTCTTCTTGTGTGTGAGCACATATTTTAATAAAAATGAGATCACACTGACACTTTTTAAATCTGCTTCCTCCCTAATGTTTTAAATGTTTTTTCCAAGTATCCTTGAGCTTCTCTTAGATGAGTCTCTTTCCATTCCTACTGTTCTCACTTACTTGGATTATTATAATCTCTTAATTGGTCTTTTTGCTTCTCCTTTTCTAACTAGTCTTCTTTCTAAAACTCTAAAAAAAACCACATTTGGCTTCTGTCTTTCCTATAGGGTTAATCACATGCTGACTTTGCCCTTCTTTTCAATACCATTTGCCTGGGAGATTCTTTGCTGTGTTACAGCCAGGCCCTGTGCTCTCATACTTTCAACGACCTCCCCCCTCCTGACCCTGCCCAACACCTCCAAAAGATAAATATATTTAAAATGCAACCTAACGCTCATCGTCTTCTTTGTGGCAGTGTCCCATGACTCTTCAGACATAATTACTTCTCATTCTACAACTTGTCTGACTTTGAAGAATCTTTATTTAAAATTCAAGCCACAGAGCTGTTTTATGAACTATCGTTAAGGGGTATAAAAACCCCAGCTCAGGAAGTGAAATGAACTCCCGTAGAAATCATAGATGACTGAAGTTAGAGATAGATTAATTAATCACTGTGTGAAATAAAGAAATGAAGAGACTGTGTATGAATATATGGAAGTTCATATGTATCATAAAGCGAGGGACTGTCTGAACAGACTGATCTTAAGTTTCTGACGTGCTCTACAAACCCAGTAATGGAATCGTGATTCTACGGACATCTTTTGTGTAAAAAGACATTCCAGGACTGTCAGTCATCAAAGTTGGGCAGATTTTGCTTACGTGAAACAAGTAAACTTGGTACTTAATTTTAAGAAAAAATTAAGCAAAGAACATAAAGGAAAAAACTTTGTTTAATGTTAGCTTTATTCTTCAGTTGCTTAATTTAGCACTGAGACTGTGTTTAAGGTCTAAATTAGAAGTTAGCATTACAGTTAAGGCGTCACCTACAGATAGTACTGATGAAAATCAGCACGTTCCTCTGTTGTCAGCTGAATAGCTAACTCTGAGGTGGTGCGACAGGGTGGGGAGACGGTGTCTTCCCCACTAGCCAGCTCCCCAGACAAGGGGGGCAGCTGTCACAGCTCAGTCGCATCGGCTTTCTTTGACATTGTCTTCGTTCTTATGGATTCATTTATTACTTCTGTGTTTATGAATCCTCACCTTGTCTTTCACTTAAAGGGCTATATTTTTAGTACCTTCACCTTTTAAAAAAATAATACTGATTTTGCAAAAATTACACAAGTCGTAGGTGTAAGTGCCCCTCAATTCTGTAACTTTGAAATCAAACACATAATCCAGCCAACATTCCCCTGTCACACACCCTCTTCCCTGACTTCAGCTTCTAGGTTGCTGTCATAGTCCTCCAGTTTAGAACATTGAAGGTCCACCTTGAATGTGCGTGTGTTGGAGTTGGAGGCTGGAGGGTAGATTCTTGCTTCACACAGCAACTGACTTCTAGCCAGTACCTCAGCCTCTCACCTCTCTCCCTCGATCATCCATCTTGCCCAACATTGCTTATGTAATGCTCTCCAAACAACACTTTTTAACGTTTTGTTCTGCCTAGAAGCTTGCAACAGGTAGCTCTGCTGGATATTCAAAACCATAATTCTTATGGTTTAGTCTGTTTTTTACTTTGCATTAAATCTTTCTTTTTTTTTTAACTCATAATCCTCATTCTCAACTTTGTTTTACTTGGTCTGTTTAATGTATTTCTAATGTCATAAACCTCTTTTGCTACCTCAGACCTTCCCATCCTGCCACTCATCACTTGAAGTGATGCAAATATACTTACCTACACTGGTCTGTTTTCTTACTTTTTACGTGTAAATCTTGCCTTAATAACTAAATTGAAAGCCCTGCAGGGGCAGGGGCACTATTAGAGATTTTTTAACAAACTGAACCAAATTTTTTCTACTTAGGCAAAATTTTAGGCTTCAGTGTTTGTATTTTAACTCTGTATTAGCAGTTATTGTCATTTTTATTTATTAGAATTGTATATTGAGAACATATGACAATCACAATGCACTGTGAGTCAGGTACCCAAGTAAACACTACTGCTTTCTGTCATTGACTGATTGTATGAAGGCAAGTCGTCTGACCTGCCTGGGATTCACTTTTGAATTCCAGATTAGGAAGTTAGATTAAATGATCTATAAGGCCTTTTCCATTTACATTATATTTTTAAACTTCTTTTAAAATTGTATTTAAAAATTGCCTGTAGGTAAAATGTCAGCCAACTATATTAAAGCTAAAATGAAGCTTTGAATTTAGAAACCAAAAGTCTCCACCAAGGTAGTGTTTCTCTTACTTTCTGAGGTGTGTTTGGTTAATTTACTATACCTGGTTTATTTTAGACAGGTTACTTGGTACTCATTGCTGTTATGCTGGTGTCTCGAACGTATTGTGATGTTTGGATGATTCAAAATGGGACACTCATTGAAAGGTACTTTTCTCTTCACCTTCCTCCTGTATGTGTGAAATACTGGTTTGTGTTACATTTAAGCATTATCTTAAGCAAGAAATAGATTCTAAATTAGGTATAAGTACTTAAGTCAAATTGTGCCTTTGTTCATTTACTTAGTAGATGTTTACTTAGTGTCTCCCGTGTGCCGCAGGCAGTTGTAGGTATGTACCTGTGAGCAGGCGAGACCCTGTGCCAAGCCCTGCAGAGCTGGCGTTGTTTAGAGGGTCAGAGACAGGAAACAGAAAATGTAAAGGCATTGTAATAATTACTGTAATGGGAGTTTTAAAAAGTCACAAAGTTGGATGTTTGAAATTAATGAGATAATTTGAGGAACATATCGAAGCATCTCAGGGAATCACATTGAGAATGTTTATTAAGAGGCAAAAAAGTCTTAGACATTTTCTTCCATTTCTGGTTAATGTTTTATATTTTTTTTATTACAGTCTTTGTACATATTGTGTTGTTAATCACTGCAACTAATGATTTTGAATTTAAAAACAAAAATAATAGTCAGAATATTAACATTTATCTGTTAATAAAGAATTTATTCCTTATGATACCAATTTGAATGTCAGAGTAGAAATTTTTTTGTTAGTATTTGTTTCCTGGTATGCAGTATTTTATCAGAAAATTTCTTAAAATACTTAACTTAAGATAACTTTTTGAATGCCAGTAGTTGAAATTTTTAAATGCTCCCTAATTTTGAAAGCTTTTCCCCCTCGTATCTCTGATTTGCTTCTTAGAGGATTTGTAGGAGAGGAAGAGTGCCTTATGCTCATGTTTTCTGACCCCTCCCTGGCAGAATAAAGGTTATCGCATAGAATTAAAACCCTAACAATATACCTCAGAATATGTGTAAATCGTGTAGACGCCTATGTTCAGCTCAAGTCTCCTTGAATCCTGTGGTCAGTCCCATGCCTTTTTATTTTAATTAAAGTAATACATGGATAGCTTAAAAAGTAAAACGTGAGCATGATGTCAGATCGCCTCGCACCTCAGTCCTATGCCCCGTTCCTCCTGCCCGTAACTGTCACTCCTGCAGCCAGCTGTCTTCTAACTTTTTCCTGTTTTCTCTCTCATTTTATCTCTGCATTTCATCGTAACACGTTACTGTTCCTAGATTTTTCAGTCTCAGTATGCGTACATTTACTTCTATTTTGGAAGAGGAGAATTGGCTCTTTTACACTCCTGCCCAGGTTCATTCTCATTCTCTCAATGTTGTATTGCAGTTTTTTTGTTAAATCAGAATTTGTTGTCTTCATGATTTTGACTTTTGTTTACAGCTGAGTCGCACACTCTTCTCTGGTAGTTTCTTTTGTATGTAACTTTTTGTTTTTTTCTGCCGTTTATAAATTGAAGTTTTTGTGTGCTTTAAGTTTTTGCCTGCTTCTTACTAATTCAACTCAAGCTTATTGACAACACTATAAAATCTCAGTATTATGTCAGATACACCAGATAAGCTATTGATTTTTATCTGTTACCACCCCACCCCATACATCTTGTTAGTTTTCTGTCTTCCTGCTCTCATCAGGATTGATTACATTTGAGCTCCTCTAAATAGCAGTTACGTTTGAATTTACTTTTGTTGTGATCTTGGGAATTTTTTTCATCTTTCCTGCATTAAATTGCTCTTGTTTTCTGGATCTTTTATTTTCCTCTTCATTTTTTACTTTCTCATTTTGGCAGATGCAGGCTTTTTCTGAGAAAAGGGTACAAGGGAAGTAAATTTTTGAGATCTTGTAAATCTGATAAATCAGTCCTCTGTTCTTGCACTTGATTGATAAGTTAGCTGTTTATTATGCATTACAAGCTGGAAATCACTTTTTGTTAGAATTTGGAAAGCATCACCCTGTTGTCTTGTATAGGGCTCAGTGGGTCTCAGCCTTGGCTGCAGGATTGTTGGAATCATCTGGGGAGTTTCGAGAACTGCTAGTGCCTGGTCCCACCCCTGGAGTCTGATTCAATTAGTTATTGCTTTTCGAAGCATCCCAGGTGATTCTAATGTGCAGCCAAGGTTTAAAGCGGCTAGTCTAGGTTCCACACTGGGGGCTGGGGCCCGTCCCTGTGCTGGTCTGCCTTCCATGCCGGTGGGTCTGTTTTTCCTTCCTGTGGAAGCTTTTATTCCTTCATTGTTGATGTTGTGTTGCTGGTATTTGGAAATGTCACTGAAATGTTGGTGTGAATTTTTTCGCTCACTGTGGTTGTGCCAGGCACTAGGTGGGCTCTTTTCACTCTAGAAACTCATTCTTCATTCTGAGAAATTTTCTTGTGTCTTTAAAAAAAGTTCCTCCTCTCCATTTTTTTTTTTGGTACTTTTTCTAAAATCCTCATTAGTTGAGTGTTGGACCCCCTGGACTAATCATCTGATTATCTTATAATTTCTCTATTATTTTCATCTCTGACCTTTTTCCCCTATATTCTAGATATTTTCTTTTAACTTTATGACTGAATTTTTATTTGTTTTAATTTTATTTCCAAGAGCTGTCTTTGTTGTTTGAATGTTCATTTCTGTAGCCATCATTCTTTCAAGCCTGTGACTTTTTTTCTTTTCTTTTTTAGCTCCCTGCTGCTTTGTTTGTTTCCTTCGCTGTCTTTTGTTGTTCTGATCTTTGTCCTTCATGTTAGAGCTTTCCTCAAGCAGTCCCTTGCGGCTGTATATTCATATTTAATTTATTGGAAGCTGAGTTGTTTTTGTTGTTTGTCTGGTTCTCCTGAAGGGCTTTTGTAGAGGGATTCTGGTTGGTTTTGTGTGTTTGTGCCCCAGTGAGGAACCCTCTAACAGATCTAAGGAGTTAAGATAAACATAATCAAAATGTTTGTTCATTGCTGCTACCGCATCAGCTTTAGGAGGATCAGTTTCATTGTTAAGCTCTGTTTCTGTGAATTTTTTGCATGAGTAATTTGAGTCATTTTTATAATTAATGTAGAGAAGGCATTCTTGTCCTTTTACATGATTATAGAATTTTGTATTTTTTCTTTTAATGATTTATTATTTAAATGTCATATCTACTAATAAAATTACAGCCTCCCCAACTATAGCATTATTAATTACCTGTGACGAAAGTAACAGGTTATATCCACTGTGAACAACATTATGTTAGATATCTGTATAGAATCAGCTACATAATACATATAAAGAACCCTGTACAGTCATGTTATAGAAGATTATTTTTAAAAGTTTTTTCCTTTTAATTCAGATTTTGTGATTTCATGTTTTTGTAACCTAAACGAATAATATTTAATCTTCTAAACTAGGGATTTCCAAAGACTTAATGCCCTGGAGAAAATGCATTACTAAGAGTAGATAGTGCATTAATTTAATCGATGATAGTGGACAAAAGGATAGTTATTTTGTAGCTTGAGCCAGTTTATAATTCTACTAGATAGAGTAATCAACTTGTTGGGTACTCAGTTTTAAATTTTAGTTATGAGATGTAGAAAAAATTTTTTTAAAGTTTTAAAAGTTTTTAAAAGAATTTTATAATTTAAACTTGCAGGAAACTTGCAACAACAGTACAAGGAACTTTCTTATACTCTTAACCAAAAACACTACTTATGAAATGATCATTTTAGAATTAATTGTTAACTTTCTTCTGAGTAAATATATTTGAGCCTCTGCCATGCATGAGATCTTTAATGTTTGATCTAATTAAAAGTTTTAAAATATTGTGAATTCATAATGTAGAATAGTTTATTTAAAAAATAACACATTTCTCTAATTTGCTACTCAAACTACATTGTAAATGTCTTTATCTGCCTTTTCCATTTTGCCCGTTCCAAAGTATGTTTAGATTTGTGTATTTCTGTTAAAATAGTCTCAGAGAGACTTGTTATGGTCCTTAATGTACTTAATTTTAATATTCTTTACATCGTTTAGGCTTACTTGTTAACAGTGACTAAAGACTTTGGAGTAGGGGCAAGTTTTAATAGAATAGACCCCTTCTTTGCGGTAGAAGGTCCTTTGAGGTCCTTCCATGATAATGGAGCTAATCCTTCATATCTTGTTGCTGCTGTTGGGGAGGAAGAAATTTTCCTCTGCTCCTCTAGGCTCTTCTAGCTGGTCTAAGAATTAAATTGATGTGAGACAGATTAACAGGAGAAAATCAAACAAAATTTTACTAACATATATACATGGGAAAGACCTAGGAAACTGGCCGAAGTCCTCATCTTAAACACCATCTTCAGCTAAAGACAAAAGAGGATGTTGGGGTAGTAGGTTGGGACTTCAGAGGGAAGGAAGGCAATTCACATGAAGACGGAAAAGCAGATGCTTGGTAAAGACTGTGGGACACAGAGTAGACTCTGGTCTCCAGCTCCTGCCTACTTAAGCCTGTGTCAAACTCACCACACGTAGCCTGTGTTCCACCCACCACACTTAGCCTGTGTTCTTTGCAGTATCTCTGGTGACAGCTCTATTCCTAAAGCTGGCCTTTTATTTAAATTCTTTGAGCAGCTAAGGGGGAGATCGAAAGAAAGACTCCCTGAGTCTTCTGTTTCTTAAAAATAACCAGCCTGAAATAATCCTTATGCCAAAGAAACACATTTTTGGGTGGCAAATTTTATTCCCCTATACTGCCATATATAATCATAATATATATATGTTACTTTATATATAAATATAAACTACATGTAGTATTTTATGTGGCTACATGTAGTATTTTAAAATTACTGAACTATCTTTTCTTGAAATACTTTCAAAGCATGTAGGGATCTTTATGAAATAAGTGATTATGATTGGGGCTACTGTCAAATTACTCTTTATTAATTATTATTTTTCTTTTGCAGCGGAATAATAAGCAGAGATAAAACTTTATTCAAGAAACCATTTTTTAAATTTATAGCTGCTACTCCAATGGTAAACCATTGCTGAAAGATGGCATGTGCTTTACCAAAGTTTTATCATCTTGTGTGTTTCACAGCTTGGGCAGCACGAAAGCACTTTGGTTTTATGTAAAGTCTCGTTCAAACAATTTAGATTTGAATCTCTAAACTTTTTGTGTGTCTTAATTGCTTCTTGTCTCTAATATACTTACTGCTGTAAACAACATTTTTGTGTGGTTCTATTTTAACTTTTTTCTAGTTCAGCTTAATTGTTTTTGTTTTTTACTTTTTAGCAGTTATGTCAAAACTAGACTATTTTTCTATCGATCTAAAATAACACTTCTCAAGTATATTCTTGGGAATCTTAGCAATGATGAAGGAAATGCTACAGTGCCACAAAGCCCTCTCAGAGAGTTTTACAGCATCTGATACATTAGAGCTTTGAGAAAGTCTTTGGTAAAGACATTTGTTAGCTTTGTTTAACACAGGTTTTCCCATAGTTATTTGACCATGGAACTTTTTTGCCCTAAAAGACCAGTTCATATTACTTGGCATTATTCACCTTCTCCCTCATAAAAAGCAAGTTATTTCTTTGTTGTATGTATACCAGTCATTTTCATGTGTGGACCTAGATTTGAATCATTTAGTGCATTGTTTTTCAAAATATATTTAATTTACGTTTGATAATATTAATAAATGTTGCTTGAAAAAACAGCATGTGATCAAATAAATTATATTGTTATGCTTCACAGACATTTGAAACTCAGAAGTACTTTACTTATAGTGATACAATAGTTTTCAGACTTTTTTTAAAAAAGTAGAAGAACCCTTACTTTAATTAAGTTCTTAATGGATATTTTAAAAACAGATAAATAAAGCAGATTAAAAAGAGGTAACAGATCTGGCTTAGTTGAAAACCACTACCATCTGTTTAGGTAGAATTTTCTCAGCACCGCAGTCAGTTTGATTCTCGGCGGTTTTTTGTCTACAAATAGCAGAACTGAGTAGTTGCAACAGAGACCGTATGGTCCACAAAGCTGGAAATAGTTGCTCTTGGCCCTTTATAGTAAGAGTTAGTTGATCTCTCATTAGTTTGTCTCCCTGCCATTAGCTCATACAGATGACAATCAGGATATTAAAATATTTAAAAACAGACAAAGAAACACTGGTTTGTTTGATCCACAGTAATCCATTCCTCGGTCTATAAAGCTGTTAATTGTTTTCACCAGATAAAACCCCTTTTGTAATGCTTAAGCCTGTTTAAATGACCATTGTTACTAAGGAAAGAACTAGTTATTATTCTCATTTCATTTTGCCATTTATAGTGATTTTCAAGCAAGTTGTTTAAAATGATAAAATTTCAAAAGTTCATGTTTTGTAAGAAAATGTATTTAGCATCTTTTTTCTTACTGATTCTTGTGATTCAATAAAAATTTCCAAAAATAATTCTAGAGGTTTACAGAGATTTTTTTAGTGTTGAATATTGCTTCTTTTGCAACTAATGCATTGCATGTGATGGTTTGCAGTGGTATCATTGGTCGTAACAGAAAAGATTTCAAGAGATACTTATTCAACTTCATCGCTGCCATGCCTCTCGTAAGTGTAATTCTTTAAAAAGTTTTTGCACAGGAAAAATCACATCTTACTAAAATCTTTTAAGGATTTTTACTCAAGTTCTTTAAAGATTTATGATACTAAATTTCTATTTCAAGTTTAGTTTTGTAACTTGCAGAGGAATTTTTCAATGCAAACCTTTATACTAGGCAGACAAATTTAAAGGAATTATGGTTTAGTTTCATTGTATACGTTTGTGGGTATACACATGTGTGGATTTTTTCTCTGACTTCTAGTCCAGGGTCTCAGATGTTTAGTAGCACCACTAGATGGAGGTAGTACAGCTCCCCTGGTTGCGGTGACAGAAAATGTCTCCAGTGCCTCCAAACACCGCCAGATCTCCTATGGGAGCCTATAGCGAGGTGGCTGGGGCTGGGGGAGTGATGGGGGGGTGGCAGAAGTTCAGGTTGAGAATCATTGCTTTAGGTCACAAATGATTGTAGTAACTTGAGCCACTAATGTAGTTTAAGTTGAATTGGCATTTATTATCTGAATTTATTAAGAATAAAGGTTAAGTAGTCTAAATCATAAGCAATTCTCTTTGCTTGATTCTTACCTTTATTCTATTTTATAGGCACTGTAAGAATTTCAGTATTACAGATGTGGGAATAAAAGAAAGGGGCTTGATTGTGAATTAATGAGAAAATATGTCAGATTTACTAAAGCTTGATGACGGACATATATGGTTTTAAGACCTTTTAAAATAAAAAATTGAGATAAGCAGCACTGATACAAATCAAAGACTGAGATTCAGTCCAAGACCAGTGTTTTCTTGGGAAAATTATGTAAATGTGACTTGAGAACTATAAAAAAATTAATTTTAATAAATGATAGAAAAGAGTAGTAAAGATGACTCCAGAAATAATCCAGAAAATGGCATTAGTTGGTATAAAACTTGCAGTATTTTTTTTTAACAAATGCAAATGAAGTGTATATGGAATTCTGTCGTCTGGGGTTGCAGTGTAGTAGGAAGAGAAGATACACTAAGCGTGAATTTCAGGCTCCTGAAACAGTCTCTGTGCGCTGGATGGAAAGGTGACAGATTGGGCTTCTGTTTCTTACCTCCCCCACCTAAAAAAGGGATCAAGGTGCTTCTCATAATTAATGATCTTAACATATTCTAAAGTTAAGTTCCAGGTAAAGTTTAACATAGTGTAATACAGCTACTTGCATTTAGTTTAGCATGTTCTCTTTGTATCTTTGTAAATTTTAAGTAAAACAACTGACTTACATCAATTTGGACTGCCAGTTTTAAAAATCATAGGATTTGGAAACAAAGCCAGTGATGGGGAAATAAATTATAATTTAGTAAGTAGAAATGAAGCAAAACCGGTAATATGTATCTGTTTGTTTTAGATCTCTCTGGTTAATAACTTCTTGAAGTTTGGGTTAAATGAGCTCAAACTATGCTTCCGAATAAGACTGACTAAGTACCTCTATGAGGAGTATCTCCAGTAAGTGGTAACCTGTTTTTACATTAAAGCTGCTTACTTTGAACAGTAACACTTGTGATGTTGAGATGTGGAAGTCTTCTTTCTTATTAGATATGTTTTTCAAGAACGTTGCTCTTAGACCCAGAAGCATGTAGGGAAGACCTCGGGCATTTGGAATCGAACCCTGGCTCTTCCATTTGTTGGCAAGTCATCCTTCTCTGGACTTGACTTCATCTCTAAAATAAGTTGGGACAATCTTTAGAGCCTCTTCCAGTTCCAGACTTTATTGTTTCTATGAATTTGCACTGCACAGAATAATGTGAATTTTTTTGTTTTTAAAATTATTTGTTTTAAAGTCATTTTCTTATTGTTATTTTAGAGCTTTCACATATTATAAAATGGGAAATCTGGACAACAGAATAGCTAATCCAGACCAGCTGCTTACACAAGATGTAGAAAAGTTTTGTAACAGTGTAGTTGATCTGTATTCAAATCTTAGTAAGGTAAGTTGCTCTGTTTTTGTTGTTATTGTTGTTAATTTGTTGAATTTTGAATCTGAGCTTATTTATATAGAATTGATTTGATGAACACAACAGCAGCATATAGATATTTAAGGCTTTAATAAGAAAATTATAGTTGTTGTAATAGTCTTAACTATAAGTATTTAATTTTCTATATTATTTTCTGTGAGGTGTTTTGACTGAGAACTGCGAATTTAGTGTCTTATAAAGATTATATAAGAATTTTTCAGGCTGATTTCAGTAAAACATCAGAAATTTGAATTTTTATCTCTTGGCCTGTGTAGTTTTGGCAGTTGTTAGAGATTGATGGCAATTTATTTTTAATTCCACATCCATAACCCTAGACTTGGGCTTCTTCCTGCCCATTTCTCTGCTTCAGTATCTCTAATTCTAATAGATTATTTAAATAATAGTCAAAACGTTTCCCACAAGATATTAGTTTATTTCAGTGTTTCTAAGGACAGTTTTTCCCCCTTTCTCAGACTATTACCAAAGCTCTTGACTCTGATGATAAAGACCAGTTTTCTTCCTACTGATGACCTCAGTTCTTACCTGTCTGACTCATCTCACCACCCTCACAGTTTTGGCTATAGTCTTCTCACTAAGCCGTCTTCTTTGCATGAACTCTGCACCAACTAGGATATGTGTTGGGCACCTGTAAGATTGTCTCCCCAGCTGTCCCTCCCCTCTTCATCTTGGATACCCCTTTTCCCACTCCAATCCACATGACTGCTCTTGGTCTGGGGTCCGATCTTGTCTCAAACTGGATCATTATCTTTGCCTCTAGCCACAACTGATTGAGAGATCCAGTCTTGAGACAAAAAACTGTATCATAGGGGTGGGCTTACCCTGTAAGAACGGGAGTGCTCCCACTTCCACCATGTGGATGGCGGGAGCATAGGCAGTTCTGAGAAGAGTGGTCCATATTCACAAGAGCCTCCCCCCTCATGATGGGCCCACTACTAACATAACTTTTTACTTCGTACCAAACTTTGTTCTTCATTTGGCTCTCTGTAAGCCTTTACTAATTGATCCAAACTTTAGAAACTGACAACTAAAAACTGTTCAGTTAATTCAGCTGTTTTTTTTTTTCCTGCTCCTATTACCACATTTTAAAGTTTGTTCCCGATTTTGTATTTGAGGGGTGGGGGCTGTATATGCTATTTTTCATTAATTCTGTAGACATTGTTATATATTCTTTATTACATCTTGGCACATGAGCAAGTCTGTAGCTCAGGACTTGTCATACCTGCAATAGAGAAAGATATTATCAAATTAATTGTAGTGGTGCTATGTACTGCAGTGTAATTTACTTTTTAAAATATCTACTTGAACCCTGACTTAAGTGAGTCATTATTTTTGTCAATAACTTTTAAATGTACTTGAATTTTTTGTAAGTATGTCTAACTTCTTGGTAATTCATAAGGCAAAAAAAAAAGAAAAAGTTCAGCTTAGTACAAGCCAAGTACTAAACCAAGCCACCTATCCTAGTGATAATGCAGATATTAGTCAGAAAGGAGTAGCTATGGATTTAAAGTGAGTTTGAGTTTCTTGAAAAACTTCAAAATAATGTACAACTTTTGGTACATCAGTTGAGTTGTCTCTGTGTGAGGAGTACTACATTAATGTATTATTTTAGTTCTAGAAGCTTGAGTTTTATATCAGAAAATTAGATTCATAAGCTCACTTGATTGTTTCAACATATAGACATTGTGATAGAGTAGTAGAATCAAACAACATTAAACGCAGAAAGACCCTCTCATTTTTCAGGTGAAGATATATAGAAACCAGAAAAGCTGGTGGCAGAATTGAGCTTATAATTCAGGCCATTTTATTCAGTGTCTTTATACTAAATGGAGAAATTACTGTGTTACTAAAGGCTAATGATCACAGTAGAGCTATGTTAGTTGATGGAAAGTAATAAATATCCCACTTGATGATCAGTAGACATTGGTCACACTGTCTCCATTTTCAGTCTCTTAAGAATAAGAGCTGTGTCTTTTGTATATTCATCGTGCTACATACTGTTACAGCATAAAGTTACAGCTGAAAATCGTGTGTCAAGTGTTGAATAGCAGTTTACATATGACATGTTGTATTAGCTGTAAGTCTAGGCAATTTAGTTCTTTTTAATTCTGTACCTTCTGATTTTTACTTTACAGCCATTTTTAGACATAGTTTTGTATATCTTCAAGTTAACGACTGCAATTGGAGCTCAGGTGAGTTGACTTCTATTCTGTCTTTTAAATTGCTGCAGTACTGGGTTGTGAATAGCTGGGTGGTTTTAAGAATTTTTATGTATCTCAAAGAATGTGCTTTTACAAGATGTACCTAATAAAGTATGGTTATAAAATAATACTATACTAGAGATTTTAAAAGTATTTTAATTTGGCTTTTTAATTTTCCTTAAGTCAGATACTTGGAAAATTTTTGTGGCATTAATAACCAGAAGTACTTAAACACTTAATGTACATGTGTTTATTGTTGCAAGGTAATTTTTAAAAAGATATTTGGAGAGAGCTATTTTAGTGTGAAATTTGAATGTTTGTCATAATACCTTTAGAATGGCTATGACAGTTTCAAGAATATTTATACTATAAATGGTTGACTGTCCCATGAGCCTCATTACCTTGTCTCTTTGACACTTGTGTTGGTAAAAATGACCTTTACACTTTCTGAGTATTCTCACTGAAGTCTGACTTTAGTCATTTAATGTGTGATGTTATTGTTACATATTTATAACACAACCATATAGTAGTGTGGTGACTTTATGTAAATATGTACATGTGTACGTATATACCTTTTGTAGTTGATTAATAAATAATTTATGTAGGGTTTTTGTTCCTTTCCAAAACATTGGGGAAAGCAGTTTTCTATTTTAATTTTCTTATCTACCTCACATCTTGATATCCCATGAGCCAGGTTTAGTCATTCTTATAACTTGTTTTTACTATAAACAGATGAATAGGCTAAATACCCCTTATCTGTGTATTTTAGTATTTTTGTGGTCCTTACTACATGTGTATAATACTGAAATATATTTCCATGTATTCCTGTTTTCTGATCCTGCTTTTGTTAGAGGTAGAAACTGTATTTTAATTATCTCTTTTGCCTATTCTTGTACTAATTATTGAAATAAGTTGAATCAATCATGCTGAATTTTTAAAGTCTTGAGTGTGCTCTATATTCCACACATACTGCGTCAGGTAGTTCTGAGTAGAAAGTTGAGTAAGATACAGTTCCTACTGAAGAGAGGTTACCATCCAGTGAGATGGTAGAGACTCAACAACCGTAATGCAGAGTTCCAAGTCCAGTAATAGAAGTTGGAATAATGTATTTGTGTCCCGGAGAATCGGAGGTGATGTTTGAGCTGCTTTGAGAATGAGTAGGTGTCCATCAGTTACATCAGGCTTGCCGGATATAAGAACAACTTCGTTGAATGGCATGTTCAGGGAACAGTTATTTCAGTGTGGCAGAATATAAGATGTATATGAGCTTGACAAGGCAGGCTGAAAGCCTTGGAATGGCCCTTGGGGGGTGAGGTACTTAGCCACATGAGAGAGAGCAGCACTGGAAGCAAGATGCGGGAGACGGGAAGACAGGTCGCGCTCGTTTGGGGGGAGTGAGCTTGAGGGTCTACAGAGTACTAAGCTGAAGATGCATAGCATTTGGAAATAATATCTTGCATTCTTGAGATTGATGGGATTAGAGATGGAAATTCGGGAGGAGAAGAGAGCCAAGGAAGAGACCTCAGGGAACATTAACATTCAAAGAGAAAGTGAAAAAGTTGCCTGAGAACTGTCATGGAATCTTAAGAAAACATCAGGACGAATTCTACCAGCAGAGTTTTAGACGCCATAGAGAAAGTGGGACTGCAATCAGGAGTTTGTAAGTGAGCAAATTTGGGAGAGCTGGGAGGTGAGTGATGGAGCAGGAATAGATGAGCAGTGAAAACACAGAGGCCCAGTGTGCATTTTCTCAGAAACAAAACAGTTAAAGGGGAAAAAAAATTAGTTGAAAGAGCGATTTCTCTTAAAGTCACTGGAGTTGATTATAATAAATTGTGCGTGTTGCATTCAGTGAATTTCTTGTATCTTTGACCCTTGTCCGTCTTCCTCTCCCAATAATAACAGGGCCCAGCAAGCATGATGGCCTACCTGATTGTTTCTGGGCTATTCCTGACTCGGCTTCGAAGGCCCATCGGCAAGATGACAATAACTGAGCAGAAGTTTGAAGGAGAGTACAGATACGTTAATTCTCGGCTGATCACAAACAGGCAAGCACAAGCGTATTAGATGTATTTAGCCGTAGTAAAACTTCACTTGTATGGATGGTAAAGTCACGTAAGTTGACTCCAGAAAGTCTAGTAACATTGTTACTGAAATTATGTGTGTTTTTACCTTTTTTGAAAATATGCATTATGAAGTTTATCAGTTTTACACAGTAGTGATCCTCTACCTCGCTGACCGTTTTTCTTGTTAAGTGTGTGGTAGCCCTGACTTCCCTCTTCATGTCTTCTGCTGACTACTGTTCTGTTAATTTCACTCTAAGCAAAGTCAGAATACATTCAAATTCAGATTTACTTCTTCAAAGAAAATTTTGTTCCAATTTATCTGCAAATATTTTTATTTGAGACTATGTTTGGAATCCTCAGAGTTAATCCAGTCGCACTGCGTGTGTCTCTGCCTGGTTTCTAGGTAGCTTAAAAATCCAACATAGAAAGAAAAATTACTGGGCTTTGGAGCCAGCCTGACTAGTTTCAAAATCTACCTCCTTCACTTCTCAGTTACATGATATATGACTTTTGACAAGTTACTTATAGCCTCACTTTTCTTATTTATACTAGGTAGATAATATAGGGTTGTTGAAAAGATTGAATATGAAATATATATAAAGCTTCCAGCACTGTTTTTAATATGTGGCAAGTACTCAGTAGAATTTTCACACATGGATGATCTGTCAACCTTAAGTCATTTTGAGTCCTAGTATTTATTTACTGCTCTGTTGTCATTTACAAATTTATTTGGGAAATTATTCTTTTAACAGTTCCCTCTTCCTTTATTTTCTTGGATTGCTAAAATGATACCAGTTTTAAACAGGGTTTTGTGCTGTAGGGAGACAGAAGAATCGAAGGTTGAGTAGGGAGGCACTTTGCCAAGTGAGTGAAAGATGATATCAAGTAAGATGCTTTCTATTGCAAGAAACAGAAAACCCTCACTCAGAAGGCTCCAGCAATAAAGACGTTTACCATTTCACATAAGAACTCTTAAGATAGAGCAGTTTCAGGCACAGCATGATCAGGGCTCTGGCTCTTCTCTTAGCTCTGTTTTCCTCTATATGTTGCCCTTTTCCTCCAGCTAATTCTTTCATGATCACAAGATGGCAGAAGTAGTTCTAGATCTCACCAGCCCTCCTCCCTTGCAAAACATCCAGAAACAAAAACAGACCATTTCTGCTGTCTCTTTAAGAGAGCAAGGAAACTGTCCAGGAGATCCACAGCAGACCTTCTTTCACAGCTCATTGGCCAGAGTTGTCACTGAAACAATTACAGCAAATTGATTGGCTTAGACTGGTTGAAACTGTTCCACTGTGGGTGGAGTTAACGCCATTCCTAAACCATATGGGTGCACAGTAGAGGATGGAGAACTTTGAGAAGATTGGCGTTCTCTTAGAAGGAAGAACGCAGGAGAGGATAGTTGTTGATGCAGCTGTCAGTATTCTAGGATGTGCTTTTCTTTCAGGTTCTAGGTTTGGGCTAAAATGTTGAGAAGTGGTATTCTCACCTCCTTTTTCTCCGTAGACTTAAATGTGCAAAAAAAGTAGAAGGAAGTAAGAAAGAGGTTGTAAGTGCAGAATTGTGTTAAACTGGGATTCTGATTCCCCGGGGCTCTCTGTATCATTGTGTAAAGGAAACTGAAGTGCAGGTCAAACATGATACGTCTTTATGGAAAGTTAATTTTACTTGAAGGGGCTGAAGTAAGAGCTACCTTGTTTTTATGATGGAAAAAAATACAGGTACATTTTGGACTAGAATATAAAATTCACATAAATTTTTAAGAAAAAAAGACTTTAAAGAAATAATAGATGTTTACTGAAGGCCGTTTTAACAATGCCTTCTAGACTCCTATGTAAATCTTTACTTTCCTTTGCTGTTAAGAGGTACTTTTCTGGGCAAGTTTACATCATAGTACATAGAGTGGAAAGCTAGATGTTACGGTCAGATGCCAGTTACAATCTCAGCTGTTTGACTTGACATGACTTTCACAAATTTACTTAACTTCACTGAACCTTTCTTCATCCATAAAAATGCCCCCTTTTTCCTAGTTAAGATCTTTGTGGCCCTTGCGAATCCATTCAAATCAGCTCAAGGAAAGGGGAGTTGTGAGGATATGGTGGGGCTTCAAAAATAAGAACAGCTTATTCTTATAAGGACTTGGTTTGCTTTTCTGTCTTTCAGAGACTGTATGTCATGACATCACTACCTTTTCTGACTTCTGTTGTCCCTCTCCCTTCTGGCTGGATCTGTACTCAGTGTGTAGTCCTTAATGGCTGTCCCAGCCCTGCCTTCCTGTGTGTCATGGAAACTTTCTTCTCATTTCTTTATTCATATTTCTGAGAATCAGCCCAGCACCTTTTCCAGCCAGACTACATGTGGCATAAGGAACATACGTGGGTGGTCCGGCCTGTGGTCCAGTCAGGTGTGTGTTCCTGAGCTCCGCTCGGCCAGCCAGTTTCAGACTGTGGCTTGAGATGTACCCGATGAACTTAGTCACAATATGTCCATTTAAATACAAACATTCAGGCATCAAATACTGTATTTCATTATTTTTTAGGCTTAGGTAACATTAAAATTAATTGCCAAATTTTCTTCTTCAATAGTGAAGAAATTGCCTTTTACAATGGAAATAAAAGAGAAAAGCAGACAATCCACTCAGTCTTCCGAAAACTGGTAAGATGACACGTTTGGGGCTCAAGTATTTATGGGAAAGAATGTTTTGGCCTGTGCCAGGATGTGTGTGTGTGTGTGTGTGTGTGTGTGTGTGTGTGTGTATCTATATATCTTTAATCTTTAAAATATTTATTTTAAAATAGCTGTAAAGGATTTTATACTGTTTTTATCTAAAAACTGTCACGTCGATTTGTTAAGCTGCCCAATAATAAAAGTGGGAGGTTTATTAAAATGTTTGTCAGTGTATTTTTCAGAGAGGTGACTTAGGAGTCTCACTTAGGGACAGACTGAGCGACGGTCACGGAAAGGATGAGCCCTGCGGTGCTCGTGGAGATGTGCGCCTTGTCACTCCGAGCCCGCGCGGCGGACTTCTGTTTACTGCAGGGCCAGGCAGCTCACGCGTAGTTCAGGCTTCGCAGGCCCTGTGGTCTTTATTGCAGCTCTTCAGCTCTGCCGCGCAAAAGAAGCCACGTTCTGTGTGTGAATGGATGGATGTGGCTGTGTTCTAATAAAACTTTATTTATAAAAATGAATGGCAGGCTAGATATTACCTGTGGGCCATAGTTTGCTGACTGTTGATTTAGAGTATAAACATTGTTTCTTATGAAAACTATTCTTCAGTTTTTATTTACTTGCCAGTTAGAAAATTTGAATTCAATTAATTTTATTTATTATTATTTAAAAGATACTGAGTGCCATCTAGGTGCATGTGCTTGTCCAGGTGCTTAGTGTAGTAACAGTGGTAAATGTGATGGACCAAATCCTGCCTTTAAGGAGCTTACATTTTAGTGGAAGTTTTTGAAACTAATTACAGATTTGAGGTGATTTTAAAAGGTTAACGAAGTTGTCATTTAAAATCATTTCAGAAATTAAATTTTTACCTTATTTATACCTAACATGACTGAACCTTGATAGTGTTCACCGATGAAATACATTTAAGGTGGTTTTCTAGGGGACTGCTGTTAACCAGCTCGCTCGTCACGTGGCTTGCCCGTCCTTACGCTTTAGATTTCAGCCCTGAAGTTAGGCCTTGTCTGATTAGCTGGTCTAGAATGGCCTCCACCAGTTACTTGCCATTTAATGACCTGTTTTCTTAAAAGCCTATATTGTAATTTGTAATCATCTTGTTTGTTTACTGCTTTGTCTCTTTCATTAGAATGTACATTCCGTGAGCTCAGGGCCCTTGTCTGTTTTATTCATTGTTTTATCTCCAGCACTGAGCATGGAATGAAGCAGCAGGCATTCTCTGAATAGATGCTCTAGCCAGTGTTCTTCTGTAGAAGATATTAAGAGCAGGCTACCCTGTTCCCAGGAAACCCACATTTTAGTGAGGGAGACAGTAGCCAAGTAAACAACTGGATATTTTAAATGACTTCAGGTAGTAATGAATTTTATGACCAAAAATAAAATGGGATAAAGTGGAAGAGCATGATAGGGGCTGTTGCCTAACTGTTTCAGCTGGGATGGCAAGAAGGCCTTTCTTGAGGAGGTGATATTTTATCAGAAACCCATATGAAGTAAGGGAGTTAGTCACAAAATGTAAATATTTAGGAAGACAGTATTCCTGACGGAGGGACCAGCAGGAAGAAAGCACTACGTCAGGAGCAGGTTTAAGGAGCCAGTATTTTTGGAGCTCAGTGAGAAGGAGCGAAGCTAAAGCAGGCGAGGTTTAAGACAGAGCCCAGCGCCAGGTCAGGCAGGACCTTGGGTAATCCGATAGGTGGAAAAGTCGAGAACACTAAACATGGAGAATAAAATACACTTTTAGACTTGTAATTCTGAGGTAACACATGCTGGGATTAAAGCTGCAGACTCGAACGGTGCAGCGCTGCATTAGCACTTGGTTCAAGTTGAGCGTAATACAGTTCTGAGAGAAAGCACAGACCGTGTGTCTCCAGCTGAAGCAAAGTGCTGAGTGCCATTTCCAGACAGCTAGGGTTTTACCTAAATCAGCTCCTCTTTCTGTTTTTTTGTTTTGATTATTGATCAGTTGTAGCATATATATATCTGACAGTATTATGAATACAGTATCATTGTACTATTACATGCAAAGGATATGCATCAACATTCTTTATATAGTTTCCATTCTGTTTGCATAAAAATGGTTTCAGGAAGTATTTGGTACCTGCTCTGTGATCAGCATTGTGCTCAAAGAAATATGTATGTTATAATCAGAAATCATAGGCATTCAGTAAATATTTGCTTAATACATAAATTTTGTATTATGTATTTTGTCCTCATGGTAGATTCACTTTTTTAATACATAGAAAGTATATATATATTTTTTGTTTTTGCTTTCTGCCAGGTGGAACATCTGCATAATTTCATTTTGTTTCGGTTTTCTATGGGCTTCATTGATAGCATAATTGCCAAATGTAAGTATGCCTTTAAAGAGATGGGGGAATGAGATTTCTGTAGGAAGTGAAGTATTGTTGATGTTTTTAAAACCCTAACCGTCGTGTTTCAGATCTTGCCACCGTGGTTGGTTACCTGGTTGTCAGCCGTCCCTTCCTGGATTTGTCTCATCCTCGGCACCTCAGGAGCTCGCATTCAGAACTCCTGGAGGTACGGTGCTAGGAGTAGTCAGAACCATGGGCGTGATCGATTGAAAATTTAAATGCAAAAGTAAAGGAAACCTAGCTTTAATCTTAGAAATGTAAGTGAAGGCTAATATTTATTTCTATTTAAGGATTACTACCAAAGTGGAAGAATGCTTTTGCGAATGTCTCAAGCTCTGGGTCGGATAGTTCTGGCTGGCCGTGAAATGACTAGGTTAGCTGGGTAAGTAAGATGAGTAATAATGAGCAATTGCAGAGAATAATTTTAAAAATACATGTTATCCTTAACAGTTGTGCTCAGTTGAGGTTAAGATCAGGAGCAACTTAAGCCTCATGTCCTGGCCTTGGAAGCTGATTTTGATAGAAAATTAAGGAAGATTCTTCTCTGTTAGTGAACTTTTCATGTTTCTTTAAGGTAGCTGTTTTGAGCTGTAAACTAGGTTAGTGGTTCTCAGGCTGCCTGCTCCGTGCACACTGGTATTCAGTATGCTGGGAAATGCTGAGTTGTGGCAGTTTTTCTGTAATTCACAGACTATTAAGTTAGTGAATAGAATTTTCTCATTTGAATTTTTTTGTCCCCTACCATACTTTTTTCCTCTTAGATCTTTGATACTGGCAACCTAGCATAAGATAAACAAACAAAGATGAAGTTTATTTTAGTGGGAAAAAAAAATGTTACCTTGTGATCTCTGTAGGTCTAGTTGTAAATGTGATCACGTTGTCTAGTAAAATTGTTCTTAGGCCATAAAATGGAATTAAATATTCCAGTAGTTCAAGGTCTGATATACAGGGCTTGCTGTGGTATAAGAAACACTATAATGTAAAGAAGCACCGTAAGTTTCAGGTCGTCTGAAGAAGTGGGATGACTGTGGCGGCCTGGGATTAATCTGCTCGTTTCCTTCCCTCCTGTTTCTCCACCTTTTGGCAGTTAGGGAGTCTTCACGGCAAGACAGAAGTTGTAAACAATTACGAGGGGTCTCCTTCTCTTGAGAACGCTGACACCCCTCCTGCTTGTTAATACCTTTTCTCGTCCTTGGCAGCCCTGACGTGTGGGCTGCTCTGTTTCTTTAGGAAGTTTCTGCCTTTTATTCACAGGAGGATCCTGTGTTGCTTCTCTGATTAGTGCTCTCGCTCTGACCATCCTGTCAGCCTCATACTCCTCAGCCTCCTGTCATTAGTTTTGATTTCTCTCTATCCCCATAGCGATTTCTGTCTAATATTAAGAGCATTTCATTTTTTCCCCTTTTCGGGGAAAGAGAGGAGTCTTCCAGATTCTTCCACGTTTGCAGGGAAGTAATGTGCATTTGGCTTGCCTAAAATAAATGACTTCCTCAGAGCAAGACCAGCTGTATCCATGGCTTTACAGCTCACGGCAGCGGGGGCTCAAGCTCCACGCTCCCTGGGTCTGAGGAATGCACTCGCATTAGTCCTTTTGTGGTATCTGCTAGAAAGTTCCTTAGAATTCTAGTGGCAATTAACTGTCCTGGCCTACTGGTGATGAAGTGAGGAGCTGCTGAGGTGAGACCCCCTGAGACCTCTTTTCTTAGCCTCATGTTCCTATTCTCCTACTGAAACATAATAATGAATCATGTGTACTGTTACTAATACTTTATGTTGATGAGACTTCTTTTAAGTTATTTCACCTAAACTAATAATTTTAGGAACTTTATTTAAGTTTGTATAAAAATAAAAGATATGTACTTAACAATGTCATATATCAATTATATTTAAATAAATAAATAAAAATAAAAGCTACGATAGCCTTTGAAGTTTTGATTATGACTTCCTTTTTTTTTTAATTTCAGTTTTACTGCCCGAATTACAGAATTAATGCAAGTACTGAAGGACTTAAATCATGGCAAATATGAACGCACCATGGTCTCGCAACAGGAAAAGGGTAAATACGGATGCAGTAGGTCACATTGTATGAGTTTTTGCTGACGTGACGAAGTGCTCTAATAGTGATTTTCCATTTAATGTATTGAAGGAGAACAAGGCATTGCCTTGATACCTGGTGCTGGAGAAATCATCAATGCAGACAACATTATAAAGTACGTATAGAGGAGGGTCCTTTAGCACCCCAAAATAAACATCTGCTGAACTACACAGTAGCCTTTCTCTTTCAGCTACATCTGCTTAGTGTTCAGTGCGAAATTATTCTCTTTTTATTAATTTCCTCCCTAGATTTGACCATGTTCCTTTAGCAACACCAAATGGAGATATCTTGATCCGAGACCTTAATTTTGAAGTAAGTTTTTACGTGATTATAATGAATGCTTAAATCATCTTCAAGATGTGAAGTGGAAAACTGTTGTCTGAATAGTTAAAATAATTTTAAGGCTTTACCTAGTCTCTGAATCCAAAAATTGCTTTGAAATGTAAGCCTTTTTACAGGCTGCAAACTTTGTTATAAGATAAATAAGCAGTAGGGATGTGATGTGTGTGATAAATGTGCAACACTGCTGTATGTTACATGTGAGAGTTGTTGAGAGTGAGTCCTGAGTTCTCATTACACACATAATTTTTTTTCTATTTTTTTTGTATCTATATGAGATGATGGATATTTACTAAACTTATTATGATATCATTTCATGGTGTTTGAAAGTCAATTCATTATGCTGTACATCTTAAATTTATATAGTGCTGTATGCCAGTGATATCTCCATAAAACTGGAAGGAAAAACAAAAAGTAAGTCTTTGAAACAGTAAGAAATCTATTTTTTTATTGACAGAACTTCAAAGTTTCAAATACTGCTATCAAAAAAATTGTTTGCAAATGAAGTCCATCTCAAGGAAGCCGTAGAAGATACAGTTAATTGGAATCTCCAGTGTAAAGTGCATATTTAAACATGCAAATACAACATTAGTCTCCTTAAAATAATTTGGTTTGGTGTTGTTTTGGTGGTGCAGGAGCATCTGTACCTAAAAAACAAAATACAGACTTCCCTGTTACTGATGAAAACAGGGACAGAGCCACAGAGCAGCCCTGCAGACAGCCACACCCAGGTCACATCACATCTCATGCCAAGTGCATACGTAGTCTGCGAGCCAAAAGGGAATACGGCAGGCCATGTTAAAAAGAAAAAGCAAAAGATGAGTGGTTTTTGTATGATTTTATAAGCCTCTCACAGACCTAAGGATTTCTGTTTAGGTCATGTGTCCATTGTGACTTTGTGAATAGTTTACATTTGAAAAATCTTGAAGGTTAATAACAGCTTTCTGTCATGTAGGCTGTTTCTCCAGTTCTAGATACCATTTCTCTCCAACAACACTGTCCAATAGAACTTTCTGCAGTGATGGAAACGTTCTGTATCTGCAGGGTCCAGTGTAGTAGCCACATGTGGGTACTGTACACTTGAAATGTGGCTAGTAGGGTTGAGGAACTGAATTTAAGATTTTACTGAATTTTAATAAACTTTAAAATTAAATAGCCACATGTGACTTGCAGCTGTCGCACTGGACAGCATAGCTCTAGAATCCATGGCCTTCTGTACTTTGTGTTGTACGTGGGGGTTCTTTTCAGCTGCTTTCGCTGAAGGAATGTTGTCTGATAGTTTATAAGATAAGTAGTATAATTATTGAATCTGTTCTCAAAGTGCTGTAATCATAGGTCAGTCTTCAGTTTTTCTACTCTTAGTCACGTATATTTATCACGTACACCTCCACTTTCTTTTCAGGAGCTGTAACAATGGAAAGCGTTAGTTAGGCAGAGTGCTTTGGGTTTATTCAACAAATGAGTATTCTACATTGTCATAATTGTCTTGTTTATTTTAAAGCCAGGAAACACAAAGGGAAATAGAGAAACTGTGAACGTAGTTGGTAAATATTTAATGGCACAAGTGTGACCAAGGGGTTTTCTCATTTAGCTCTGGGTGCTCCTGTCAGATAGCTGGGGCTCCTCGGCAAAGTGGGTGGCCACCCATGGGGCTTGATTTCAGAGCTCAGAACCCCATCTTTGTTAGATTTCCAGTGGCCTCTTCATTGTCACTGCCCAAGAGTGAAAAGGCCCATGAGGTTTCTCCTTTGAAGAATCCTCTTGGCACTTTCTCCCACATGCCCTCACCTTTGTCCTTATGCAAACATAGGATACACCAACAATACAGATGCCCACGTGGCTTAAGTGTAGTGAGAAGGGATTTGAGATCTGTATGCACAGATATATGGAGTAAATAGATTATGATTATGATCTGTGATATTGATCATTTTGTCATAAGGTTACCACACTAATGTGGTCACTTGCATTTTAGTCCAAAGCCCTTCCCTTTGAAGCACTTATGTTTGAATGTTAATATACTTCTGGCCAGTCCTGATTACTTCTTTTTTTTTCTTTTTAACATTTTTTTTTGATTTATAATCATTTTACAGTGTTGTGTCAAATTCCAGTGTTCAGCACAATTTTTCAGTCATTCATGGACATATACACATTGTCACATTTTTTTCTCTGTGATTTATCATAACATTTTGTGTATATTTCCCTGTGCTATACAGTGTACTGATTACTTCTTAATCTCCGGAAGACCCTTACTTTTTTGCTCTTACTTTGGTTTCCTTTGGGAAGTCTTACTTTGGTTACCAGTTATGCCTGTACTTGCTTGAGTCTTGCTACTTTGCGACCATGTTGTGGTCACCTGCTATCTACCCTGATTTTCATTTTGTTTTCTCCTCTATTGGGAGCTGTTTTTTTTTGGCTTCTGTCCCTTTGGTCCAGTTATTCATAACATAGTTTTCCTTTATTCAGCAAACATCCTTCATTTCTTACTAATATCTGATTGTTTTCTATCTATCTGGCTTACTTGAAAATAAGGATTCCTTTCTATTGCAAAGAGATGTAATAAAACTGAGACTTGGACACCACAAATAAATGTTTCCAACCTTATGATTACTTTACCTTTTGGGTTATAAAATTTAGGTTCTTTGATATAGGAGATTTTATATCTTATTCCTTTATAAACTACCTCAGCAATGACATATTTACGTAGACTGAAGAAATAACAACTTGCAGGTTATAATGTGGGCATTTAAATAATACGCTGTAACTTACTGAAATTTTTACTTTTTCAGTAAGCATATTTTAATGTTTAAAGCCCATGAACAGCAAACTTTCATGTAATTTCTCTTTTATGTAAATATTTATATGTAGAATATTTTGAGGATTTATTATAGTAAATTCATAGGAAGTAGGACTTACCAAGAAGTGATATGTCTGGGGGAATATTTTTATTGGTAAATATATGGTGGTTCACAGCTTTTGTTGCCCTAGGAATTCAGGAGCATCAATAATAATAGTGTTATTAAGAACTTAATTTTCAGTGAAAGTTACTCTTGGCTTTTAGTCTTAACCTCGACCCAGAAAAAAAAATGTTTCTATAAATCTTTAAAATGGGAAAATTTTCCCTGCTTTAACATAGCTGGTGTCGTAACTGGAAATTTTGTCCCACTTATCAAAAGCCACAGAATAAAGAAGAGTTAATGCTGAGTTTAAGACATTTGAGCATAAAAGAGTACCTAAGGACTTCAGAAAACTCAAGTTTTTGTTTATACACATGATTGCAAACTTGGTCTTTGGGTTTCCTGGCGTATTGCACCAAATGGTGTGGGGGGTGTTGCATACAGAGGAGACCGCAACGAGCAGTTAGGGGCAGAAAAAAGTGCACATGGCTGACGTTGCTGAAATAATGAGGAGTGGTAGGAAACCGTCTAATTGATGGCTCTCTGAACTTGCGCTCCTGAGGATGTCACTGTCATAGCAGAGTATAGTTATGTGTAATGACATTGCAGATTGGGAATATCCACTGTATTCAGTTTTACAAGAAGAGGAAATATGTATTTAGAAGAAGTCCATCAAAATGACTCTTTAAAATAGTTTCTCAGAAAAAGAGACATCATTCATCTGGAAGAGTTGATCAGAATAGCTCCTTCTCTAACACTGATGTGCATAAGTTGCGGTATTTTATTATAAATCAACTGTGGTCAAATATACATGAAATTTACCATTTTAACTATTTTTAAGTATACAGTTCAGTGGCATTAAGTGCCTTTAGTGTGTTGTGCAGCCTTCACCGCTGTCTTCAGAACTCTCACCACAGTAGGAACTCTGTACCCGTTAAACAGTAGCTCCTCTTTCTCGCCGCCCCTTAGCTCCTGTTCTACTTTCTGTCTCGATGAATTTGCCTATTCTGGGTGCCTCGTGCAAATGGAATCATAGTATTTGTCCTCTTGTGTCTGTCATATTTTCTTAGCATCATGCCTTCAGGTTCATTCATGTTGTGGCATTTTATTCTTTTTAAGGCTGAATAATACTCCATTGTACGTAAATGCCATGTTTTGTTTATCATTCATGCGCTTGGGTTGCTCCCACCTTCTGACTGCATTTCATCAGAAAAGGCCAAAGTTCTTTGAGCGCCTTTCAGCGCCCTGCGGGATTTGCCTGCCGTTAACCCTGCCACCTCCTCTCGCTTCTCTGAGCTCCCTTCCTACTAGTCTCCCCTCCTGCTCATTCTTCTGCAGCCAGACCAGCCCGCTTTCTGTTGCTGAATAGGGCAGGTACCTTCCTGCCTCTGCCTTTGCAGCTGTTTTCTGTGTGTGGGCTTGGGACTGAAACCATTTTCCTCCAGTTAAATTCCTAAGTTATTCTTCCTTTCTAAGTTTTGCCCAGTTGTCACTTTCACTGAGGCCTGACCTGACCACCTTAGAGGTGCAGCCTTCCCTGCCCAGCCACGGGTGTTTTTCACTTTGATCTGTGTTTCCCCAGCACTTGTTTTCTAACACACTGTTTAACTTGCTTGTTTGCTATGCATATACTTTAGTGCACGTCCCTCCCACTAGAAGGCATGCTGCTATGGTAAGGATCTGGGGGAGGCTTTTGTTGTTTGGGCTTTTTTGGTCTCTTTTATTCACTAATGGAGCTGCATTGCCTAGAGCAGAGCCTGGCCCTGAGTATTCAGTACGTATTCGCTGAATTAAATAATAGGGAACTAAGGCTCAGCAGTTTACCAAAGCCAGCTCCACAGCCTGGCGACGCCCACCCGCCTGCCGCCCTCGTCCCGCTGGGGCGGGGTTCCCGCTCGCCTCTCACTGCACCCTGACCTAGGTTCTGTGACTCTTCACAGGGTTGCTTAGCACTTCCACGGGACTGTAAGTTGAGAGCTTAACCACTGGGTATTTTTGCATTTGATTTTATCTTTACGTTGTTGCAGAGCAATTTGGTGGCATTTTATAAATACTTGTAATCCATGTATCCTTTGATCTAACACTTGTAATTACTAAGAATCCGATCTGTGGAAACATCTCTCACTCGTGCATAAATTTGCTCGCTGACTCAGAGTGTCACTGCAGTGTTATTAAAAGAGCAAACAAAATGAAGATGACCTAAATATTTAACAAAAGGGAGAGCATTTAAATAAATTGTGGTACATCCTTACTATGAAGTATGCTGCAACTGTTAAGGAAAGAATGGGGAGAATCTGAATATACTGACCTGGAAAAACATGTGTGTATATATTATATAATAACAGCTTGTAGAACAGTATAAATGGTACAATTCCATTTTTAAAAAAGAGACTGTGTGTGCATACACATTTACTGTTTTCAAGAATTCACTTTAGGTCTTTGTATTCTGATTGGGATTAAGTTGATAGCAGTCAATTGTGATTTTTAAATGGAAAGAAAGTAACTAAGTAAAAATTGAAAGTAAACAAAAGTAAAAGGTCTCTCCAACCATACCCTCACTGCGTCGACCTAATACCGCATTTACAGACAAAATAGAAAGCTTATCATGAGCATAGAACTATTTGACTAAGGAAATGCTCATTGAGTATATATTCTGTTTAATTAATTCATAGACTAACTTTCTTTCAGGTTCGATCTGGGGCCAACGTTCTAATTTGTGGTCCAAATGGCTGTGGGAAGAGTTCACTTTTCCGTGTTCTTGGTGAAGTAAGTACAAAGTGGCCTCAAGATTTTGCAGTCTTATTTTGCCATATGATCTACCACGCTGTAAAATTTACAGTTTCCCTCCCCCCACCTTTGCTTTTATAGTTATGGCCTCTTTTTGGAGGACGTCTGACTAAACCAGAGCGAGGAAAGTTATTTTATGTTCCCCAGGTAAGACCTTGTTTAAGTTGTTTTATAATCTTTGACTTAAAGAGCTTTTTATTTGTTTTTGAAAAATTGCCTTCCAATGGTTTTTGCTCTGTTACTCTCAGAGACCTTATATGACCCTGGGAACACTTCGAGACCAAGTGATATATCCAGATGGAAGAGAAGATCAGAAGAAGAAGGGGATATCTGACCTCGTAAGGAAACGTTTATATCCTAGACCCACCGAAAACACTCCGTTCAGGTTCTTTGTCTTAATCAGTTAAGTATTTTAGATGCCAGGGAGTTTATTCCGGCCTTCCGTGAAGCCTTCTAAAGCCTTATCAATTAGCACTTTCCAAACTGAGGAAAGATGTTAGCCATCTTACTTAAATATGACATGTCGAGTGTTTAACCTTGTCTTTCTATTGTTTGTTTTCTCATTGCCCTCATCCTTTAATTATATGCAGTAGTGTTACTCTCTTTAAGCTATTAGATATATTTTGTCCAAATTAGTATAAATAGGAAGTAAAGGATTCAGGTTTACCTTTATGCCTCATTGTTTTGTGAAATGTGATTTTTTAGTGATACTGGCAGTAGAATTACAGTGATTCTAATTTAAAAAATAAAGCAAGACAGAGAACGTTGGATTATGTTAAGCTTGATTTCATCTTTAATCATTTTGCTGAAAGGTACTGAAGGAGTACTTAGATAATGTCCAGCTGGGTCATATCCTTGAACGTGAAGGAGGCTGGGACAGTGTTCAGGATTGGATGGATGTGCTCAGTGGTGGAGAGAAGCAAAGAATGGCGGTACGTATTGAAGCCATTGCACAACAATGCACCTGGTTGCATAAAGCCAGCATTTTGATAATCAAGGCACACAGTTTTATCTTTTTATTTAGCAATTATTATAGTATGGCTTAGTTTAAATGATACTAAAAGGGCTTAAAAATCTAACTTGCATGTAAATTTGGAATTCAGAAAAATTCATAAATATTCCTATGAAAGGAAAGGATGCAGATGCAATTATGTACCATTAACCGTTTTTCTGGAAGTTGGGGAACTTGGTAGCACACTGGTCCCAGTCGGGCTCTGAGATCCCTTTCAGTGCCTTTTCCCTGTGGACGTACCTTTGTCTTCCTCAGGCTGTTCTCGCTAAAGTAAGTGAAGGTAGTAGAGAGGTTAATTTTATTATCATTTTATCATTTATTCTGTTCTTGCCCTTTCCCTCTGTCATTATTATGTTCCCTTGTTTCAGGGTTCAGTATCAACTACCTAAGGTTATTCAGAATTTAAAAATTTTCCTAATATAAAGAAACATTTGAAAGAAAATATTTTAATTTTGTAGTTGACTAAAACTTACCCCTAATCAAACATGGCATATTAAGTGTGGTACTCTGAGTACTCAAGTGCTCTGTTAAGAGAGAGAACTTTTAAAGAGTCATTTTCTAACTGGACATACCATAGTTAGAGCAGATCCAGAGGATTCTTTGCGAGGAAGTGTTAATTTTTTGGAAGCGGGAAAACTGTAGCCGAGGAAAGACAGCAGAGGAAGCGGCTTGTTGTGGAATGGCCTGCCTGTATCCTTCAGTTGTGTCCTGCCTCCCGGTTACCTCCGAGCCCCTGACTGTTTTGCACGTTGTTTTTCCCCAGATGATACCCATTTTATATGAACTTCGTATCAACCTAACACTGTGATTTGCCTAGCGCTGTGACAGGAGATTAATCTAGAGTGACGGATGAGTCATCGACCGAGGGCAAGAGACGTATCAGCTGCGACCAGAGTGGAAAGAGGAGCTAAAGCAGTGGGAATTTGGCATTTTTAGATTTAGTCAATTTAGAAAATGCCTGTAGAAGTAGCTGCAAGTCAAGAAAAGTAATTTAAATTCCTACGCTGTGGCCTCAAAGGGCGTGGAAGGATAAGGCAGGATTCACAACTGGACACAGTGGAAACTCAGAGAAAGAAAACTGTGTTTGAACTAAGGAATCCTGTACGTGTGGTGTAAAGGTACACAAGAGGAGTTTTGTTTGATGATAAGAAATCCAAGGGCATGCCTGGGACAGTGAGAGGCTGCCTTAGAAGAACAGGGGGTGGGGGGAAGGAGTCCCGTAAAGCCAGATGAACGCGACCGAGCTGTTTGGGAAGTGGGGAAAGCTCTCCTGTAGCGTTGCTGCGTGGCCAAGACGTTGAAAGGTTGGGCTTTGTGTAGGCCAGTGTTTGGAGAACTGAATGTGAAGTTTAAAAGAGAGCCTCCTGTTTTGCTATTTGAAGGGTTTAGAGGGAGAGAGAAAAGGCAACGAATGTGAACACTGACGAAGTTGGGTGGAGAGTGTATGTGTATTCGTTTCAGTTCTTGCAGTGTTTTAGTAGGATTAAAATTTTTCAAAGTGAAAAGTTGAGGGGAAGAGAAGACATTTTTTATAAATTATAAAAATCATAATTTTTAGGAAGAAGAAACTTGAAAAGTGTAACCCAAACAGTGAATCTGCAAGAGTGAAGGTCGGTGTAAAACAAATGAACCAAAGGAGCTCCTGGGCAGGAGAGTCAGGATTTGAATCTGAGGGGATGAAGTGACGCTGTTGAATAAGGGGAGGTCTGATGAGCACATGGCTGAAAGTTCCTTGAAAAAAGTCAGCGTAAATGTAGGGGGAAATATTATTATTCCACGATTTTAACAGTGAAAAAACTTAGTTATCATACGCTTTTCACAGAGTTTGGTGTTAGCTGAGAATCTGCTCCGGGCCGGGCCCTTAGCTGGTGCCTGCCTTTAGGCAATCTAGTGAGGAGAGCCAAGCGCTCTCGGTTTCCTGCTGTACAAGGCAGGCTGTCTTCAGTCACGGCTACAAAAAGCGTGCACTGGGGTATTGATGAGGGAAGGCTCAGTTTTGAATGGCAGGTCCTATTTAATTCTCTCAGTAGCCCTGGAAAGTGAGGTACGGACAAAGGGAAGACTTGGGGAGCGGAAGCAGCTTGCTGAGCGAGAGAACTGAGGTCCTGACCCAGCGCTCCTGCTCTTAACGGCTGCGTCGCAGTGCACAGCCTTCAGCGTGCAGGTGGACTGTCCACTTCTCTTCTCTCACTGCCCCCTGAAGTCTCGAATGCCATGTCCCTCATGTCCACTGCATCCATTGGGGTCCAGCCACCATCAGCCAGAGTTGCTCTGCCTGGTGTCGTGAGTCGGGCTCTCTTGCTTCTCTGACCCGTGGTTATCTCTTCTTCATCACTGTTCTTGCTCTTCCTGTTCAGCAATGGGTTTTCTTACATTAGATCCTGAAAAAGTGTATGTGATAGGAAAGGTGAAACATTTATAGAAGTATAAAGAAGAGCCCAACCCTCCTTACCAGAGATTTCGCTGTCATAAAATTCTTAGTGCTTTTATAAATCCATTTTTGTAATTGATTCTTTTACCTAGCTGGCAACTGCCCTCATTCTTCAGACTCACTGAGATTTCTCTGATATTGACCCTTTCCTTTTCTGCAGTTGATCGGATCCCTTCTGATTCTGCCTCCTTTCCTGTCCAGCACAGACTTAGTAATCCGGGGCCTGGTGCATAGGAGGTACTCAGGAGATACTTCTTAGAAGAACAGACAAATGATCCCTTCCCCTTAACTTCCTTTCCCACTTTTTGTTTCCTCAGACTATTTAAACACCATCCCAAGGGCAGCTGTTTGCCTTGGCATTTCTGGACGTAAGCTTCTAAGTACCACTGAGGAAATGAGGGAATGAGATGGATCGGTGCTGCCACACTTCCGTGGTTTCCGAGCCTCACGGGCTCGCTCACAGCATGGCCGGGCAGTCATTTTACTTCTTTTTGTCCCTCTGTCTCGTTTTTCCTGATAAGCGTTTGAGAACTGCCAATCTCAAGCTTTACAACCCGTTACCTATTCCACCACTTTCAGCCAAATAACTCACCTTTCCTTAAAGAAAGAAGAGAAACTATTATTTCAGTTAAATGACAGCTAATTCTTATTGAGTGCTTAATAGGTGATAGGCAGTGTGCCAGGCACTTTCCACAGGCTATCTCATTTCATTCTCACAGCAGTCCTGTGAGATGAGGGCCGTGTGTGCCCTGCTCCACAGAGGAAGCAGAGCAGTGGAGGGGCTTGCCAGGCAAAGATAGCTAGTAAGTGTTAAAGCTGTTGGCGGGGGCTGAGGGGGGTGCCTTGGCAAGCTCAGGCAGCAGTGTGACTGTGAGCGCGGAGGAGGGGCGCTTGGGGTGCGCCTCCAGTGACCTCTCCTCTCAGTAGCCCTGCCCTGGGCCGTCCTGACCGCCGTGCTTCCAGGCTTCGGCAGGTACGTCACCCTTCCTCTTGAGACAGGCTCAGTGTCTCCGTCTGTGTTTTGGGACCCTCCCTCATCCAGTTTTATCACATCCCTTTCCTTCGTTATGTGCTACCCCCCCACACACACACCTATATTTAATCTCTTCTAGTCCTTTTCTCCAGAAAGACATTTTCAGGTCTCTGTGATCTAACAAGCAAATTCTGACTTGACCAAAGGCCCCACACAGTCAGGACCTCCATCCTCTGCGCAGTCGGACTTCTTGATGGTCTGTCCTTGCTGCTTCTCCTTCCTCACCTCATACAAACAAGATACAAACCCCAAGAAACCTGTTGATGTGTTTCGATCATTCATTTATCCGATATTCGAATGTTTCCTGTGCTATTCAGGTGCTGGGTGTACAGGAGTAATTAAAAGAGCCTCAGCTTTTGTGGATGTTACAGCCTATGCGGGACACAGAGAAACGGTCAGGGTGCAGTTTATCCTGGACGAAGGGCTGCAGAGACGCTGCAGAGGGGCCGGCTTGGGCTGCGGGGAGGCGTCAGGGCAGGTTTATCTGAGGAGGGGACCTTAGGCAGAACTTTGAAAGATGCAAGAAGCAGAGTGAGGCGTTTGGGACACAAGGACGTGCTAAGCCCTAAGGCCTGAGACACCTCGTGCCCTGAGAGTGGAGAGGAGACGGTGGCGGCTGGAATGTGGAGGTTAGAGGGTGAGTCAGAGGAAGGCTGTGTAGTGCCTCGTAGGCCACGGGAAGGAGTCTGATTTTTATTCTAAGTGAAATGGCAAATTACTGAAGGGTTTTAAGCAGAAGAGTGAAACTCTCTGACTTGCAGTTTTGGAAGATCCTCTCTGGTTCATGGACATTGGGCTGGAGAGGAGCAAAAGAGGAAGAAGAGGGCTAATGTGGTCGTCCAGGAGGAGAGGACTGTGCCCGGGCGGTGGGCGGGATTGTGAGATGGGGGAACTGAGTCGACTATGAACTCCACAGGACTCGGTGGACTGAAGGTGGCGAGGCGGGGGTGGGAGGGAGGAGGAGAAGGGAAATCAAGGAGGACTCACAGCTTTCTAGATTTAGCAGCTGTTTCATAGTGTCATTTTCTGAAATGTTCAAGATGGGGAGAATGGATGAATGGATTTTAAGGGAGAAATTTAAAAAGTCAGTGAGTTTTAGATTTTTTAAGTCTGAGAGTTCTCTAAGATATCCAGTAGCCTAAGAAATGGGAGGAAGCTTAAAACCGTGGTTTCACTGTCACTTTCTCAAGAAGGAGGGAGTGGTCACCTGAGTTGTACGTTGCAGAGAAGATAAATTGGGCAAGGATAGAAATGTGTCCATTGGTCTTGCAACATAGATAGCGTCATTAGGAGCAGGTGGCAGATTGGAATATCTATAGACAAAGAACCAGAATAAATAATTCCCAGAAAGTAAACAACATATGGCAAATAGCATTCCTGCTAATCAGAGAAAGGCAAGCTGCAACAACCTTGACGTTGATTTTCATGCACAAAACAAGCAAGGCTTGGAAAGCTGGGCGCGCCCGGTGCTGAGCACAGGGGTGCGGGGCAGGAGCACCCAGACGCTGCTGGTGGGAATGTTAGCTGGCCACTTAAAATTAATGTCATTACTTAAGCAACAGAATGTTTAAAAATAGTCCCATTTTTGCACCTGAGCCATCCGTCATCTGAATTCGAAGATTTGGTTAAAGTGTGTACCCTTTAATCTTATTTAGAGAATTTTAATATTAGTTAAAAACTCAACTTCATCTCACATCAGTCTTAGAAGTTTCTGTTTTACTCTTCACAGTATTTCCCACATGTTATGTTTTTTCCCTTTCTTCGGGAAGACAGTAAAAACAATTGGGTTTCTTTGTGTTGTTTCTGTTTCTGACAGATAGATTTTTTGAGACAATAGTTTTCACCCTTGCTTTACAAGACTGTAAATGTATATTTAAAGTAAATCCGCTTTAGCTTACTAATTTTCAGTCTGCATGTGATTATATAAAATATTTCTTTTTATGCTTCAGATGGCAAGATTATTTTATCATAAGCCACAGTTTGCCATCCTGGATGAATGCACAAGTGCAGTCAGTGTGGATGTGGAAGGTTACATCTACAGTCACTGTCGAAAGGTAAGTGTGACCGGTGCTCAGTGCCCTCCACCCCCAGTGTCCTCTGTGTCCAGCCGAGTATCTGGCCAAAGAGGAGATTGCAAGTTTTAAAGTGACACAATTACTGGAAGTACTGTCCAGGGGCTGTATCTTACTTTCACGGAGATTTTGAACTGGTAATTAATGGATGTGAGTAAAACAAAAAGAATTATAAATGAATTCTGTATGTAATTCCTTTTAGCCATGTATTACGTATGGAATAAACATTTAAATTTGTTTCCTTTTTACCTCATTCCCAGTACTCAGTGTTAATACATTGATTTTTTTAGTCTTTTCCATTAACTTTAACTAAGTATAATTTTGTTTAATCAAGAAAACTCAACAGTAGTTATTTGGCAATTTTTAATTTATTCGCCTTTTTCTCTGGCCTGGGTAACATTCTACCAAAGCTTCCTTTTAGTCTTTTCTGAGGCCGTCTGCATTGGTTTCATTCCTTCAGTGATTATGGAGTAGTCAGCATTTAGGGCCGGATGGCTCTTTGTCGTGGGGGGCTGTCCCCTGTTCTGTAGGATGTTTGGCAGCATTTCTGACCTCTACCCTTCGATGTCTGTAGCACTCTCAGTTGTGACAGTGTAAAAAAAAAACATCGTCAAGTGTCCCTGCCTCCTCTCCTTAATTGAGAGTCACTGACCTAGAGCAACGAGCTGTATCTGTTGTTGTGGTTTTGAAATTCTGAAGTATGACCCACAAACCCTTACTCACCGTCTAAAATCCAGTAAGCTTCTAAAACCAGGTTTGTCATTGTTTTGTAGAGAGCTCCCTGGGTAGCCAAACCACGCCTGACGAAGATTTTTAAGCTCTTTCATTCGTCTCACTGAGCGTCAGCGTCCATGTGTGTTGTTGCAGTATTAGTGATGTGTGTAGCATACAGAATTCTGCCCCAGAACCCTCTGGGGGTGGTCAGTACTCCTTGTCCAAGATCTCAGTTCCAAGACACATTCCCAAACAGTGGTTCGCAATAAAAGATTATGACCCTGCATTTGAAAAACAAATTTACTGTAGACCGTCCTTTATTGATTTAATTTTCCCGATTTTAACCTTTTGCTTTTTTCTTTATACTCTTTTCATATATTTTTCACAATAAAATAGAAAATGTGCTAGAATATACATTTTCTGCCCCAAACAGAATAATACACTTAATTAAGCTAGTTCCTCTTAGTTTAGTTTTGTTCTTAAAGACTCGATTGGGACCTGTTAGCTTCTATCATGTGGTTGGTGGCCTGTCCTTCGCGCCACCTTAGAACACTGAGCATTGGTTGTAGTTTGTTCTCTGGGGCACTGATTTTTAACTATAGCTGCTGAAGACAGTCATCTCAACAACTTAAATTATACAGATTAGTTTAATTTGCAGCTGTGATACTGATAGAAACCTGATCACTTTCCTTGTATAGGTTGGCATCACCCTCTTCACTGTGTCGCACAGAAAGTCTCTTTGGAAACACCATGAGGTTTGTATTCCCTGCATTGAATGGTATAGTGAAAGTTTATTTTCATATGTGAATTCGGGTGATAATGGTTTTAGATTTCCTGGTGTATATTCCTTTTTAAATATATACCTTAAAGAAAAAAGTGACTAATTCAGTTTTATAAATAAAATAGGATCTTCTTAAATATTATTGTAGTTGTCAATTTCAAAGCTACACTGTGTGTAAACAACCTGTGGTTATAGATGGGAGAACCAGTTAGTGGTTCTCCAGTTGTATAATTGACTAAAATGTGCACAATCTCATCACAGCTGTGGCCAAATGGACTTTTTCTTCCTATTCTGTATTGACAGAAGGGAAAGAATCTAAAGAAGGACTAGACAGCAGAAAGTTTAGGGACAGTTTTGGTAGAGGTCTGGACTACAGGAAGGAGATGAGTAATGTTAGCTATGTTCGTCATTACCCGGTGATAAAATGGAGCTCATTAGGTGCTCATGGTAATTTACAAAGATGTTGGAGCGAGGTTTACATGGGCGTGAGTGCTCCCGCAGTGCCGTCTTCCCTACGGCAGTTCTTCTCAACTCTTAATGTAAAATGATTAAACCCTAAAATTAAACCCTTCCCTTTTTCTCTTTCTCTTTCTCTTTTTCTTTTTCTTTCTTTTCTCTCTTTCGCGCTTTCTTTCTCCTTCCCCTTTTCCTCTTTCCTTCCTTCTTCTCTTCCTTCCTTTTTTTCCTTACTAAATGATACAGAAATTTTAGTTAAAAGAAAGGGTTTGAGGAAAATCGGAACATGGTAAGGGTATCTTGTCCCATAAAATGCATACCTGATTGGGCTACTTTTTTTTTTTTTACCAAATGTAGTAAATGGAGTAAGAGTCATAAGGAACAGAGTACTGTCTTTACTTTCAAGAACCTTACGGTTTAGGTGATAGTGTACAGGTAGTGAAATGAAGAGCATGGGATTTAAGTCAGAAAACCGGGTTCAGGCACCACCGTTTCTGGCATTAATCCCTTCCTTCAGGGAATAAAGTTGTTGGCCCTTGCCTGGCTGTCTCATAGATGACCACGAGGAGCAAAGAGGTAGCCTGTATGAAAGAAACTGTAATGAAATTCTGTATAGCTGTTGACTTTTAAAGATAGCTTTTATTATCTTAATGGCATGTTATGATTTGCCCTTTTTTCATGACTTGAATGAGAAATTAAATAGCAAGAAATCAAAGCAGTTTAAAAATATATCCAGAGCCTTTGTGTTTTCTCAGAAGTTCATAAACATGACAGCCATAGGTTTCCCCTCTCCCCCGGGGGTGGAGACAGGCAGCAGAATAACCATCAGGCCGGTGCTCGCGTGCAGGAGGGCGACACGAGGCGCTCCGGTGCTGGAGTCCAGAGTAGCTTAAATGCAACAGTAGAGAACGTGGAGAAACAGAGGTCGCTTCTGTAAATTAAAAAAAACACTAAATAAAACAGAAAGCTTTGTACCTGCTCTCCTCAAAGTGCCTTCATAGGATGGGATGTATCGGCTCACTCTGTAGCTCTATCCTCCTCTGCTAAATCAAAGAACAAACAAACAAAAAGCCGCAAGTTAGAGGTCCCAAGCTGATGTAAGGTAAGTATTTTAGAGGCTGCCGTACCCAGCAGACTCGCACTGTGGTGGGTCGGCTCCTTGGTGGCGGAGTGACAGACGCATTATAATTGGTGGGATGCTTGTAGATTTGGTTCCTTTAAAATCATGAAGTCTGGTGTCTTAGCTCTCATAAAGGACAGTGCTATATCCACTCCCAGCAGAGGTATAGTGTGACTGTTTTAAAAGAGCAGACTTCTTCATTTAGTCTTTCCTTGGAAAATAGTATGCATTTCTGAGTATCAACTTTAAAAGACTTTAGTAGCTTAAAATAATTATTTCCAATCATTTTCTTACACAATAACCTCTACATGGATTCCTGATAAAAAGGAAATTCTTATTCACTGGTTTTTCCCCGCTTCTTTCCCGTAGTACTACCTGCACATGGACGGCAGAGGCAATTACGAATTCAAACAGATAACGGAAGATACAGTTGAGTTTGGCTCTTAGACTCCGGAGAGCAGCACTGTACCCACTTCAGTGAAATAACCACACAATATGATTAGAAACACAAAGTACACTGTAAGATTATGTTGAGCTTGTTTTTTTTTTAAACAAAGCAACAAATTAACTGGATATAAAATAATTGAGAACAAGTTGTTGAAACATTTAATATTATATAGGATATTGCTAATTGTGTATATGTTGGTTTAATTATTAATATGTACTAAGAATGTCCTTATTCTTGTGGTTAAAAATCTGCCTAAATTAAATTGGGCTTAAATCAGTGTAACCTGATTCATCCTGGGATGCAAACCATTTGAAGTCAGCTACTTTGACTTTTTGGCTCTATCTTTTCCTTCAGTGAAGAACCCTGTTTAAAATTGGGGTCATCACTTGTCCTGTTCTAACAAGATAGTCTTGAGTTTCATTTTCTTGTGTCCCACGACAGTGGGAAGCAGATCATAGTGTATTATCAAAATGTATGACATCATTGCACAATAGCATTTACTACGTGGTGGCAGATGTCTTTAGCTGCCACAGTTAATACTCATTCCTTGTATGTGTCTTGGGGTGCATTTGACTCCAGGAGAGCCATTTGAAATTTCTTTGGCTAAATAATAAATGTGCCCCTCTCAGTTTTCAGTATTGAGTTTTTTGAGGGTTCTTTGTGGTGATGCAACAAAAGTGTATGTGCAGTCTTGCCTACAAGGGATGGTTACTATGTTTTGCGCTTAATCTTCCCAGTGATTGAGATGTTCAAACACAGAGTCTTTACATGTCGAGCTCAAGGTCTTGTAAGAGTTTGAGAATGTTTGAAGAATTGGATGGATTTGTGTATGTTCGAAGCCCATTCATTAGAAGTGTGGTGGTTACATGGTGTTAAACTCCAGATGAGCCATAGGAATGCACTACATAAAGTTAAAGCACTGAGTATGCAATGTTATCACTGTCTTCGACTGTGATTTTATGCTTAAAAATATGTTATAAAATTATGCACATGGGTGAATTACGTTTCCTAAGGCACTGGTTTATCTCTGTGAATCTTTAATGAAGTTTTTATATTTGGGCTATTATGTTGAACTGTATCCTAAGAGAAATCAGTTTCATCTCACCAAGCCACCATTAATGACTATGTGTATTATTTTCACAGGGAGAACTGAAATTGAATACTATCAGTGAGCTAGATATGAAATCAGTTTTATCAAAGTGGAGTTCAAAAAGGGGCTTTTTATATTCTTATTTCTGCATAACTGGTTTTGTTTTTTTTGCAGAATTAATTGTAAGAATCACTGACTACCAAAGTAAAACCTGATGTACTGATTCCGTAATACAGAACATTCAATTTTTACCACCTCTCTTTAGCAAACTTGTATACTTACTTATTTTCTGTTCAGATTAAAAAAAAAATCACATATCCTGTACAACCTTTACCTGTTCTTTTTGTTCTGGTATCTCAGTCCTCGGTGGTTCATACAGAGTTCATACAGTCTTGCCTTAAAAACACAAAAATAACATTCGGAAAGCCCTTGTAGCACCCAGTGTCTCTTCTTAAAAAAGTTTTGTCAAGTGTGGTTTTAACAGAATGAATTTCTCTTCTAGAAAAAGCATAAAAAATCTTCAGTGTACTTCACAAATGTTACCAAGTCGCCAGGAGACCATAAGAGTTAAGTCCCGGGAAGGCTGTTCCGGCTTGGGGGGGTGGGGGGTCTCAGATTCCTAGGTTCCCCCGGAACTGTGAGTAGAAGTGCTCTCCTCGCCTGCCTCCTGGTTCCTTCTGTGATGGATTCTTGCAACCAGAAGTTCATTTTGGGCTTTTTTTCTGTATTTTTTTATTCCTTTTTAACAAACGTTAATGTGCCTCACCATTTGAGGCATAAAGGAAGATCCCTTTCCTGGAGAATCACAGTGCCCATTAACACGGTGGTTCTAAGAAGGCCTCCAGCAAAGGGATCCAGTGTTTCCAGAACATGACTGATCAGGGCACATCTTTTCCCACTACTTTTTTATATAGTGAGAAAACAGAAACGTCTATAGTGAGAGTTGTTTGCTGCACACTGCTCATAGGATAAAGTGTATCTAGGGTTTGCCTCTGTAAGGGAGGCAAAATTTGACGTCTGCACTCTTAGAGTTTTAGGCTGGGCCTAAGAATTAAATTGGCGTTAGACATATTAACAGGAAAAAAAATGTACAAATGTATTTAATAAGTTTTATGTGACATGAAAACCTTCTTGAGGAAACGAAGCCCCAAAGAAGTGGCAAAACCTAAAGGCTACGAGGCTGAACAAAGAGAAGCAATTGTGGAACAGTAAGTATGTGGAGAGGCTAAAGGAAACTCAGGGTTATGTGTATAGAATTGTCTCAGCGTCAGTGTCCTGTCCTTGGGGAGAGTGTCATTTTCCTTCTGGTGGAGAGTTTTATCCTGTTTTCAGGAAGAAGGGGAGGGTCAGAGCGCCCTTCCTGCACCTGCTGTCCAAGTGCCTTTAGCTCAGACTGGTCCTGGTGCTGATGTGGCCTGTTTGGGATGGCATGTCCTGCCCTCCTTCACCCCTTCCCCTCCCCCTTAATGACCAGCATTTGGCTTAAAACTGTGGGGATATTATGGCATCTATCATTTCCTTATATAATGTTTTATCTTTTAACTTGTGTTTAAAAACCATAATTTGCCTAAAAGCAGAGTGAACTTTCTTCTATCAGATGGACCTTAGTGTAGGTAGTTGTAGGAAACTATGTCAGTTATTCTGCCTTTTGTGAAAAGTTGGAATTCTAACCTATAAGCATATCATATACATGCTGCTTTTAAAAAATCTAATACTTAAAAAGATTTTAACTTATCTAAATAAAACTTTTTTCTCAAAAAAAAAACATCTAATCCCAAAAATGAATGAATAACAGTCCGTCCCCACACCCTAGGGCCATTTTGAACTTCCAGTTGTTCTGTGGTAACTACTTTTTATTTTTTAAACAGTGTGCCATGTGGCTGTTTCTTAATTCGTCCATCTTAGACATTCCCTGCTGCCCGTACCCCTGCCACATCCTCCACATGCACTTCCATCGTTCTTAAATTGTAAGCACTTTATGGCAGCTTGACACATAGGCAGAAAAGCCCATAGCCGCAAAAGGCTCACCGCGGTTTTAGGACGTGTGCATGTTTATTACCGCCTAAGAAACAGAACTGTGTCACACCTCAAGGCCTCCTTCACGTCTTCGTCCGACGATTAGCCTGGAAAAGCCGCTGTTCTGGCTCAGAGCACATAAACTCTGCTGCCTGTTTTTGATTAAGGCAGACAGAGGTCCTCAAAGGACTGTCCTAGTGAAATGTGTAGGATTGGCAGTATGATCGTGGCTCTGCTTGCACTTCGAGCACGGGTTAGCAGCTGGCTGATACTCAGGTTTAATAAATGGCATCTTCTTGTCAAGGCCGTGCGTACCCACGGGGGCGGTGTGTTTCCCTTCTGCGCTCACTTCCCTGCCCTGCCTCTGTGAAATCCGGGGGAGCGGGCGGAATGTTCGGGGAAAGCACAGACAGGAGAGATGCTCAGACTTCCATGTGCATGTAGTCACCCGGAAAGCGTAGGTTCTGGTTCAGTAGGTCTGGGTGGGGCCCGAGAACTTCCATCTCAGGTTGACTAGCTCTCAAATGATGCTCAGTCGCGGGTCGGGGTGGGAGCTCCAGCTGTGGACTAAGGAGACCATCACAGGTACAGATGCAGCAGCTCAGAGAAGATTCTCTGGTTCAGTGATTCTGGCCACCCCTCCCCACTGTGTTCCTTCATTCTTAGTCATTTCCAGGTGTTTTTGAGTTTTTTTAATTTAGATTCCTTCATTTTTACAATCCAGTCCGTAATTCTGGTCAAGTTGCAATCCTCAAGAACTCAAGGTGGCGCCACAATCTTAGTCATAAAGGACACAAGGCCCAAATGCTGTTACGCAAAGGGAAAACACTTTCCTGCCCCTCTGAATGCTTCTTACTCTCTGGACTGATACATGCTTAGAGAAGACAAGTTTCTTTGCAGATGGAGCATGGTTTTCCAGTGGTTTTGAAAATCAGGCTAAGATTATTATGTCAAAAATGTTTCTCTTAAACCTTTTAAGTTTTAAAAATTTCTTAAACTTTTAAATTTTAAAAGTTCATTAAAATTTGTATCTTCAGGATAAATTGCAACTTCTGTCTCAGAATTCCTGGATTTTTTCAAACAAGTAATTTCATTTCTCCCAGAAAGAAGAGGGTGTTATCTTTCAATTATTAATTATTGATGCCCTGTCTAGTAACATATAACCATGGGATTTGGGTTAAAAGAGATTGACAGCTTTAGGCCAATTAGCTCACTTGACATAGGAGAAAGCAGGCGTCCCAGTTTTAAGTTCTCTCGAGGCTCTGTTCCTGCAACAGGAGGACTCCTGACAGGCCCACGTGTCACAGACCTTCTAGCGTAGTCTGCGGACAGAGGGTCTTGTCTGTGCTTCAGGTGCTCTCAGTTTGATTTTGGCTGCACAGCAGGCTGCGTTCTGACCTCCCCCAGAGCTGGGAAAGCCCCCTTTCGGGTCAAGAGCTGCTCCAGCCTCTCACTGCAGTAAGTTACAGATTAAGCCAATGCTTCTGAAATTTATTGGGCATTAGAACCACTTGGAGGTCTTGTTAAAACAGATTTCTAATTCAGTAAGTTTGAGGTCAGGGTTATAATCTACTTTTCTAATAAACTCTCAGGAATGCTAATTCCCGTTCCATCCCCTGAGATGCGGGGCCACACTTTGAGCACCATTGGATTAACCAACATGGGCTGCCTGTTTCTTCACCATGTTCGTCAAGAAAGAGAGCGTCCCGGTATTCCCAGCAGGAGCCCTGGGACTCACCCTCCCAGACTGGGGAAGGTCACGCGTCTGCCCCCGAAACCAGTTTTTCTGCAGCCACGAGGAAGGAATGTGCTGCATACCAAAGCCAGAGCACCTCGGTCTGCAGTTGAAAAGCAGGGCTGCAGGAACGGAGAACTAGAGTCCACTGTGAGCGTCCGCACTGGAATAGTCAGAAAGCTGCTCAGGCCGCCACTGGAGAAGAATAATACGTGCTAAATACACGTCTTAGATCAGGTGAAAACTGGATTTGGGGATGAGTTTATTCACTACTTGATAGAGACCATTGGTTCTTTGTTTATTGCAGAGACGGGCCCTCAACTTATAGGCCGTCAGCTGTAACTGAGGTGAGTGTGTCTGGGTTTCACAGGTGTTTCTATATGTTAAGTCAAACATGGCTAATAATTTAAGATGGTAAAAATCTGTCTTCAGAGCATGAAAGCTTAGTTTAGTAACAATCAGCTTTATGGGAAACTAAGAGCAAAAATAAGTGATGAAGTATAATCTGGCCCACTGGAGGGCAGTCGTTTCTGGACACCAGCCAGCAAGTAGAACGTGGTCTTCTGTCCAGCGCTGATTAAGGTGTTGTTTTAGCAGCAGCTCCTTGTGAGGACGGCTGTGGAAACCTGCATGGTGATTAACATCCGCAGTGTCCAGACTCCCCCATCATTGCAGCACCGCTTTACTTGGATGTGTAATGAATTCCTTCCCTGTGAACAGCCAGACACCTCATTGCTACCCAGACCGGCTTCACACTGCCAGTACTTTCTTTAGGGGACCATTCAAATTCCTTAGATTATGAGGCCACGGAATTGCATAGTGCTGTTTATTATTCCTGGCAGGGAGAGAGCAGCCTGATGGAATCGCCCAGTCAGATGTCCTCTCTGGGAGCTTGTTCTGTCTCATGCGCTAAGCTCTGTGTCCCAGGCAGCCCCACGTGAGCAGGAATTCAAGATAACAGCCACCGCACACTTCTCTGGGGACATGTCCCCACACTAGCCTCTCGTTGACTCTGCTGCAAACGCACACGCTCACTATCCAGGGTGAACGCTGCGACAGTGTACAGGTCAGCCACTGCAGCGCTGACACATTATGGCAAGCAAAGCGACAGAACCAGCCCAGTAAACCAGCCACTGGTCTGTTTCCCTTCACTGCTCCAAAATATCTACCCTTTTTCCTTTCAGGCTGCCGTTCTCATGAGGATGTGAAAGATTTGTTTTGCCCATTGTCCCTTAGACTATGGTGTTACACCTAACATTTGACGTTTAGAATTTTATTGACAATGCTTACGAGTTCTCTGGAGCAAAGGAACAAAATGCATTTAAAATTCATCATTCATCTAACATCTCTGTTTACAATCTTCATTTCAGTAGTTGTGAGAGCAAGACTGTTCGGCTAGATTTTATTTGCAGTTGAACGGAGGAGTCACTATTTGCACCCTCTAGAGGGCGGTTGTGAAGTCGGCTCGACTCAGCCCTGTCCAAGAGCCTACAGGCACGGCTTCCGCAAAGGAGCAGCAAATGGGAATGAGACCCCATCCTGCCCACAGAGAGCGCTCAATCTAGTTTGCTTTTCATTAACTCTACAGACTCCACTCCTCCTCTCTCCCTAACTTACATTTTTTTTTATCCAATTTTCTTTTAAGACAACAATCCAAAGAACTTTCCTTCTGTTTTCCTCTCCGACCTTCATCTGCAATTCAAGCTAACACCTGTGGGAAGAAGACTCTCCCTCTAAGCCTGCAGGAGACTGTCCCTTCCCAGGAACACTGTCCATCCCTGCCTGTCGCTGTGGGACTTGGGGTGCCTCCCGGTAAGCAGAGTACTGTCAGGCTTGGACATGTGTCTTGCTTGGGCCAGTGGCATGTGACCAGAAGTGACAGTGAGCCACTCTGGAGCAGAAGTTTTAGGAGGCGGCTTAAAACTTGAAGATGTGGCTGCCTACTCTACCAGCTTTCTTGCTTTTCCCTCTGCCCTGATCCAAAGAGGACTTCACTTTGGTTTGGGTCCTAGACTGAGAAGACATTAAGAAGAGCTGCAGCCAACCCACGGCCACCAACCTGTAACGTAAGTGTAATAGGAAGACACTGTTGTCATAAGCCACTGAGAATTTAGGGTCACTCGTTACTGCAGCAGAACCAACTAATACAAAGGCCAAATCATAAATAATAAGTGGAAGATGTAATAAATCAAATGGTCACATTTCCCAGTCACCTTTATTTATATAAAAGTATATTAAATAAATTATCTCAATATATACAAACAGGACAATATTACCTCTATAAATAGAAAATCCCCATATATAAAACCTTTAAAAAATTACATAAATATATTCAACGTTGACCATAAGAGTGTGAAGTACCTTAAATCATAAAATATGTAGTTTGTTGGTATAGTAGTCTTACAAAAACACAGCTAGCTGTCAGTGTTCATGACAGCGTCAGTCAGATAAAGTGCTAAACTAATGCTGTTAGGAACGTGCCCCAAGCACAAACCTGCTGCATTCAACACATTCACGTGAGAGTCTGCTAATTGTTCTGAACTAACAAGAGGGAAGAAGAAGCTAAACACCACGTCATAAAAGGACAGCTACGTGTTAGAAAAACCCACCCAAGTTCCGTTTTACTCTCCCACGTGGTTTGAAGTCAGTCTCTCAAAAGTTGTCCAAAAGTCCACCCAGGATTTTTTAAGGCCTTTGTTCATTTGTTTTCCCTTAGACAACCTGGCTTCACGGTGAGTGTAGAAAACACACAGTCTGAAGTGTGATATGTGCAAAAGGTGCCCTAGTGTTGAAAGAGAAATTAAACCTTGGAATTGCTGTACCGCTCACTACCTCCCAAGTGTCTAAGGCTGACGCTGGGAACAGGTCAAATAAAGAGCTCCCTTTGAGCCCCAGGGTCTCCGTGCTCCAAAGCACTCCCTTGCCTGCACGGATTCTACTGCCTTCAAAGCTCTTGGTCGCAGCACACGCAGCCTCCGCGGAGCCGGCAGATCCCATGGCGAGATCTCTACGCAGCAGTGAGGGGCGCGCTCTCCTTCCTGCCCCGCCCTGCTCTGGCCTTCCTGCACTTGTACAGAGACAGAGACAGGATGACGACGATGAAGACCACAAACACCAAGGCTCCAACGATGAAGAAGACTTCTGAAAGATAAAAGGTGCCAGACCAGCTCAGAGAGAGCACGAATCCCGTGTATCCAGGTGCAGAACTGCGGGCACAACCCCAAATTACACCATCCTGCTTTTGCATCACTTGAGATTTCTTTCCTCCACTCTTCCCACCACAACAGGTTTCGATTAGGGAAGAATCTGTCAAACCCCTGATGTCTGGGAGCAACTGACAACGGTGAAAAGCTGGCTCATGCTCACAGTCTAGAAAGACACACGTGGACAGAAGCAAGATCGGCTGTTAGAAACAAGTGGCTAAAAATGAGGCTGAGTTTGGTGGCAGTGATTATAGCATAGGATGAACTACTGGCTCAAAGAGAAAGTAAAGATTCAATAAAGAAGAGATGGTAACTGGCGGGAGCAGTAAGCCTTCCTGGCGGAGGTGACATGTGAAACAGTTCTCAAAGGACGCATTTCAGCAGATGGAGAAGAGGCAGAAGGAGCAGCGACCTGCCTGTGCACAAAGGCGGAGAGGCGGCTGAACTCAAGCTGGCGTTAGAAGACGGATGTGAGGGCTGTGGGTACGGTGGCCCAAGAGGATGTGGGACCAGAAGGGAAGAGAGTCCTTTCCTTCTGTCAGTGTCAATAAACAGGAGAGAATTTATTTTAAAAGTGTTTTAAGATATTAAATCTCACCTTAGCAAGGCACTAGGTCATCACCACCATCCCTGACTCGTGTTCCTTGAAGGTACTCAAGAGCACCATCCCTACCAAGCCTGCAGGGAGGCCCGAGACTCTCAGCCTCACGCACACATCTGGGCCCCCACAGCACCACAAGAGAGGCTCCATCCTCCCGGCGTCTGGTTCCCAGTTTGGCACATACGTGGTCATACACGTGTGGGTTGGGCACACACACATGCACGTGGTGTATCTGATAGATTCAATCCCTTCCCTTCATGGGTTACATCCTCTGGGCCAACAACCCACAGCGGTGCAACAGTCTATCGAGGGCTGCTGCAGCTGATCCAGAAGCACCCCTAAGCCCTAAGATCAGAATTTAAGTACAAAAAAATGCCCAGAGAAATCAATGATTTGATGCTAAATCCTAAACATGTACCATGGGGTCCAGTGCTCAGCAGAAGGATTAGCACATGTTAAGGGCTCAAGAAAACAGCTGCTAATACAAGGGAACAACACAGAAACATTTCTAAATACATAAAATTGAGTACCCCCCAAATACATACACACACACACACACACACACACAAATAAGGCAGTTTGCTCCTGAACAAAGTACATCCTGGTTCTGAGGTGGAGCTGGTCCTCTGGAAGGCAGAGCCACTCACCTCTGAAGACACCTTTCTCTGGGCTATGGCACTCAATGGGACTTTCTGGACTCTTCCGCTTAGCTCTTCGTGACAAAATCACTGCTTGAACCTGGAAACAGTAGTTTTCTCCTTTGTCCACATCAATCGAGAATTCATTAGTGTTTGTCGTGGCCTTTTTCTGTTAAAAGATAGAGTTCTTTAATTCATCTGGGCTCCAAGTGAATCCCATCCCCTTGACTAAGTCACTGGGAATAAAAGCCTTTGTGGACACATCTGACATACAAGGGATCAGAAGCGACTTGGCTAAGACCATGAAAATGAACATATGTATGTATGTATATGCATGTCTGGGACATTGTGCTGTACACAATGTAACTCACTGTACTTCAGTTTAAATTTTTTTTAAAAAATAGTTACTTGGCTAATCAGTTACTCCTGAAAAAGCATCTTTAGCAGTTTTCCAAAAATGAAGATACCCAGTTTGGACACAGTCAACCCAATTTAGCTCCTTTAGAAAATATCTGCAGTAAAGGGAAAAAGGACGAAGTATTAATTGTTGAATGGACAACAGATTTTGTGTCTGGGATCCTCAGTGGAGGAAGAAACATGGGAGCTGGTGGCAACCTAAGAGATGACTGGTCCAGCCCCTTGGCCGGGGAGCCTGGGTGCCCCAGGGGGCCTGCCCCCGGCAGCTCAAAGGCAGAACCAGGCAGCAGGCATGCCTTCCACTCCGCCACTCTGCCGCCTCAACCCCCCTATTCCGGTATTTCTGAGTTGGAGAAGTGGGCTGTAAAATCAAGGATCTGCAATTTAAAGCAAGTCATAAAAACAAAAGAATGCTCACCTTTCCTGTACTTGAAGCTCTCCAATAATAAAGTGTGTAATTTAGGTCCTTGCCAAAAACCTCCCGGAGGCTTAGGAACGAGCCGTTCACTCTGACTAAGGTACGTGCATCCTTCACGGTTACATTCAGCTTTGTCCCAGCTTGTTCAAAACTTTGAATTGTTGGCTGTCCAAGGTTTGCTAAAAGATAGAAAATGAGCTTCTTTGGAACCAAAGAATTCTATACAAAGTAGAATCCTTTCGAGTTATCCCGGTTAGCAGCCTGATCACCCCTCGTGAAACATCGCACGGGACCGACTGCCCGGCAGCAGTGAGCCAAGTGGCCGCAGAGCCAGACCCCGGACGACCTGCGGCCGTGCTGTCCACGGGACGGCAACGGGGGCCACGGCGGCATTGTAAAGCTCCTTGCCGTCGCATGAGAAAATGCAAAAAGGAACAAGCGAGGTTCATTCTAAAACCGTATGTCATTTAACACAATACAAAGGCTAAAATATGTCAGCATTTAATCAATACAAAGACTCCTGGAGATCTTTTTCAAAATCCAGTGTGTATTTTACACTTAGGGCATGAGCCGTGTTTCAAATGCTCAGCAGCCACACGTGGCTAAACAAACAGCTGCACAAGAGTCCATATTTTAGAGACAATAGATTGAGGGCTGTGGGGAAGCCGGGAGATGTCCGTGGGACCTCAGGAACCAGTTTTAACTACCAGGTCTCTGCAACGGCGCAATGATCTCGTGAGCTTTGGTTGAATGACAAGTAAGACAAATTCTAACGATGTAACAGGAACCATATGCAAGCACGTGTGTGTGTGAGCACATGCAAAATCAATATATAAAATGTCTTCTCTCTCGCACCAAAAAAGGATTTGAAGCAGATAACGAAAAACCCAAGAACTACAAAAGGAAATCACGAGGCCGTGGCCGATGCAGGGAGAGTAAGCCTCAGTGACCCTGCAGAGTCGCTGGCAGTGGCCGAGGGCTGTGCTAAGCTCAGGACCGTGACAGGCACACAGGGAGGCACCAGAGGAGTTTGAAGACAGGTTCTCTGGCAAAGAGGGGCTCAGGGTGGGCAGCCAGGTTCACCTGGGGTGAGGCTGCCCCCCCCCACGCCCCTCAAAGTAGATCCTAAGTGGAGACGTGGCTGCCTGTCCCTCTGCCCTCTCCCCATTTCTGATGGGTGATTGCATTGAAATTTGTATAACATCTTGGCAAAATGACTACCTGAGAGATGTTACGTGCAAGGAATACAGAAAATTCTGAGACATTCTGAGGATTTATAAGAGCAGCAAAACAGAACATTTGAAAACAGAAAGTCCAAGGTGTTTGGTTGGCTTCTCCATGTGGTAAAAGAGAAATGAGCCTTCCCCAAAACACAACGCTTCGATTCTAATTCTTAGTAGAGCAGTGGACTTCACTCTTCTCAATGCGCTACACAAGTTTATTTAAAACACCTCGTTCAGAACCACAGTCGTGACAAAAATTTAAACCTACATGGCAGGAAACCTCTGTACTCCCTTCGTACATGCTTAGGTCTGTTTACCGAACCAGAGGCCAGGGAGCAAAGCATTCTGCGTTTTCAAGACCAGCGTGAAGGGACACGGGATGGAAGCTGACCCGACAAGCACCTGCACATCAAGGGACTCAATCCAAGGTCAAGTGAGTGAACAGGCAGGAAGCCCGATTCGGAGATCAGAGGGACACTGAGCTTCTCCCATGGATCTATGACTGTGTGTGAAAAACCCTAACCTGGGGCTTCTGGTCTGATGACAGGACAGGAAATTCGCAAGAGAGAGAGACATAAAGTCTCCTGAACATGCAGGGAAACATATGCACCCCAGCCTTGGAGAATCCCCTTCTCCGGGCAGCCCACTGGCCAGGTACTGGAGGCTTTGGGGACGTTAAGTAGGAGAAACCACCCTGATGGCACCATAATCAGCTCCAGAGCTCACGTTCTGGGGACCTCCTGCCAAGTCCAGAGTGAGCAGAGAGGGCGGTGGTACTTGCCAGTTTCTGAGAAAGAAGGTGTGTTTATGGATAAATATTCTTTACGTAATGGCTCCTAAGGGTCCTATGCTGCAAGCAATATCCAAAAAACACAAGAAAACAAGAATGAAAGGCATGAAAGGCTACTACAAAGCGGCCACTTACTGTCGAGGTAGGGCGTGAACTCCGGGGAGTTGGTAAACCGAGGCTCCCCCGCGGAGCCGGCGGCGTCCGCCGGCTGCGAAAAGACCCGTGCCAGGTACGTTTCCCTCACGTTTTTCACAATCTCATCGGTGACGTCACACTCTGTGTTTGTTGTGTAGAAGCATTTGTTTTTCCAGTTTCCTAATCTCGGGCTGAAGGAAGGAAGGGAAATGGAACACTGTGATTTGCATCCAACAAGGCAGATCACTTTCTGCCTGGGGAGCTGCAGTGTAGTGACAGCTGCCACAAGCAGTCCCAGGGAGGCCTTGCCACACGGAGCACTTTAGACGAGTCTGAATCCTCGCAGCAAACTGGGAGTGGGTCTGTCGTTGTCTCTACGCCCACAGAGAAGGCAGCTGGCCCAGTGTGAGACCGAATGACCAGGTGGAAACCGCACAGCTGGACTCGGAGCCAGACAGCAATCTGACTGCGGGGTCTGAGCTCTTGAGCATTTTGTTAAATCTCTTTCTTCAAATGTAGATGATTTGTCGTGATCATGTGGGAGAAAGAGCAGTCTTCCATCAAGACCCAGTTATTTACTGTAGTCTACTTATGTCACATTCTGGTTATTGCGTTCTGTATTCTCTGTAGACTATAGTCAATGTAGTGATAATGGTCCGTGTAATAACACATTCTCTGTATTACATTCTGCTGTGAGCATTATGGGTGTGGCTATTTAACCTTTATTGAATCTATAATAAGCCAGGTACTATACTGGGCCCTTAAACATGTTACTTCATTTGATATAATCTTTCCAAGAAGGTACCGGATCTTTCTTACTCCCGAGGACAACTGAAGCCCAGAGCTGCTAGGTACCGCGTGCCAGGTCTCCAGCTAATGAGCTGAGAGCTGGGTCTGCTCCTCTCGTTACACCGCACACTTCCCTCACTTCCACAGGATGTGGCTGCATTCCATCAGGGATCATAGAGTAACAACACAGGTAGTATCTGTCTAACAGAGTCTGAGAGACGAAGAGACAGACCTGACTCCAGGCAGATCTCCCTTTTGTAAGATGTTATTAAAGAGGAAATGATTAAAGAACTACTAAAAATGAAATTACTCTGAAATATAAAGAACTTCTACTAACACTGAAATTATTCTACAGGACCAAAACAATTTATAGATAAATGTCACTGCAACTTGGTCCATACATAACGAAGTGACAGCTCCCCTGCTCTTCCCTCCTCATCATCAACCACCAGAGCACCCCGATGACAGGACAGGAAATTCAGGAGAGACACAAGCATATGCCGGGGACCGCTGGGACCCCCAGCCAGCCCCTGGCAGGGTCTGGGGACAGACTGGTGGAGAAACCTACTTGATGACACCTGTCAACCAAGGACATGTCCAATCCCACTTTCTGCGGGGATCTCCAGATGGCTCCCTTCCCCACCCCGGCACTGACATCTCGTTAAAGCAGTTCCGGTGAACCTAACACCGGGGGCCACGCCCTTGTGCTCCCCCATGAAGCAGAGGGGCTCCAGGGCTTGCAGCCAGCAGCCATGCCTTGCTGAGGATTAGACGGGCTACATTTACAGGGGAATCGGTGGAAAACAAGCTGCCATATGGATTCAATTGTCTAAAACCAGGCATAAGAACCATAAATAAGTATTTTTTAAAAAATCTTAATAACCAGGCTATAAAGGTGTGGGACACTCTTTGTCCTTAAGTTTACAAACTGAGAGTAATACAGAAGTATCAGTTTAGATACTCTTAGATTTCTCCAATTTTCTATGAAAAAAGTAGAGATGCAGACTTAATTTTAAAATGACCAAAATGCATTTCAAAAAATTACATCATTTCTATGTTAAAAAGTGAAGGAGAATATGATGACTCTTCTCCACCATTATGGCAAACAAGTTGTTCAGATAACAGGAGAAAGGCTGCTGGGCGCTGGGGCTACATTCCATCTGAGAGATAGCGTTTGGTTCTCTTGGCTCACACGCAGCAACCACAGTCCTCTGGCAGAACTTAGCACAAGGAACTAAATCACCAAAAGCACTAAAGCCATAAAGCGCCGTGAACAGGTTAGGAAAGGGCGATTCTGAGGCAAGTTTCTCTGCATGCTAGCATAGGCAGAAACACTTTAAACGCCTCCAAGCTTCCTCTGGGTATTGCAAAACCTCCTGATTTGGAAATAATAAAAGTCCCGCCTGAACTACTAAAAAATCCTAACAGAATCTGGGCTGTTTTCTTAGAAGCTTTGGAAGTTCTGTGTTAGAATTCAGAACACTTCGTAGAATCAATAGGGGATGGTTCGGTGGTGCTAAGGCTTGAGCCAGTAACACTGCAGCCACCACTGAAAACTGTTTCCAATGGAGGGAAGTGCAGCTGGAGTTCCAAGGAGGGGCTTCAGGCACAGCGGTGGCGGGGGGGGGGGGGGTCGGGGGTGGGAGGGCAACAGGTAAGATGCTTTCTCAGGGAAGGAAACCCGGAGGGAGGAAGGCACACTGAGGAGACGCAGCGGGGACGAGTCCCCTTCCTCCTCCCAGCCTTGGAGCCTCTCATCCGACGGGGCAGGACCACTGAGGAGGTGGGGGTGCGGGGTGCGGCGTGGATCTACGTTCCAGATTTGGCTGGGCATGAACCATCCGTGCACGAATACGTCCCTCACCTTCCCAGGGCCGGCTTCCTCTTCTCTAAAATGAATTGCTATGGTCCTTACATCCAGGAAGTCCATTCACCGTGGGGACGTCACGGGAGGGTGTGGGTCTCTGGCAGAGAGAGAGACTGCTCACAGTCCTCTACACCCACCAGTGGGGAGAAAGCCGACTGGTCGGGAACCACCATCACCCCGGGTCCGAAGGTGCCCCCCGGCTGCAACTCTGCGCTAGAATGTCTGCACATCAGGGGTCGTGTTCACCTAAATAATAGCAGCCTTGCGAAGTCCAAAAGCTTTGAGTTCACAAAGGCCTGTGTTTAAAAACCGGGCTAATTGTAAATGTTTCCTCATGTTCACCAAACTTAAGACTGAATATATTTAGAAGATAAGAATCCTCCTAAAACCTTATTTTCACTGCCTAGAAGGGAAGTGTCTAGCAAGGGAAGCTTCACTCCCTGTCAGTGGAATGGCTAATTCTCAACTAGTGGAATCTGACTTGACAAGTCTGACCGTAATCATAATTACTACCTCGAGTTATAAAATCCCTTTGTATCTCTGTATGTACCTCCACATGCACACACACGGACTCACAAATTCCCTTCCCTGTTAGTTCGGCAATAGTCATCATGAAGTTCAGTTTGGGGGGTGGGAAGAACACCCACCTAACAGACCGACCCCATACCCAGGAGCTGCATTCTGAGCGCTTTAGTAAAGGCCTTGACACAAGCTAAACGAAGTAGCAGAGCACCTTTAACTCTGGCCAGCGATCCTTTTGTGCCTTTCTTCAATTGGTGTTAAAATAATTTCCACAGCTTCTCTCCTCTACTTAATAACATCTCTACCAAGCCTCCTAGAACATTTCAGAAACCAAAACCTTGCCAAGAAGATTGTGAAAACCATCAAGGAAGGCAGGAGAACATGGACTGAAGACGCCGAACTGGGGGCTCTTGGGGAGAGCTGCCGATCACGGGTGAAGACGGGTGAGCAGAGCAGCCCTGACGGCTGACGGTGCAGACAGAGGAGTATTCCTTCCTGGCTTAGTGAGTCATGGATGTGACCTCCAGGATCATAAATGCAACCGAATTTTGAATCATGAGTCCAAAGATTAATGAATCAAACACTGCTTAAGGGCAACGTATACATCTGAACTCCTCCCCACCTCTACTCTAACATGTTAGATCCGGCTCGCAGTCTAGACGGTTAGCACAGAAAAAGACCTGTGTGCTTAGATAAGATTAGTTATCCACCAACCAGAAGCACATCTATCAGGGCCACCACGACCTGCTCAAGAAGGTTCACTTCTCCATAGCTTATACTCCACTTAAGAATTTCCCCATCATCTCTAAAACCAATAAAAACATTCTATCAATTTAAGGTCTGGAAATGTCGTGGGCCTGACAGAGCACGGCTCTGGCCAGCAGGTTATCACAAATGCCCTGTTCTTTGTTATCTGTTAAATAATGTTATCCATTAGTCACCTTAAAGACATATATTCAGCACAGAAAGTGGAAACAGCAAAAACCTTATTTTTCTTTTTTGGCACCTAGCTTACCTTATTTGAACAGTGTAGACATGATTGATGGGTTTGGGTTCCCACTCCAAAATCGTCTTGAAATTAGTTGATTTCCAAGTTAAATTATATGCTACTACTACATCTGAGGCGCCTTTAAACAACAGAGAAAAAGCTATTATTACATGAACTTCTCAGCACACGCTCTCGTGTTGATGGTATAAAATATCTCCCCACCCCACCCCCCAGCATCACCGTAAACCTCACATTTTTTTTCAATCTCAAAAGCTTTACCGCTGAATTATCCTAAGAAAAAATCTGCAACTTTTTCCTAAACCCAGAATTTCCTCCTGGCAAAACCCGGTAATCTAAGGAAACAAGCAAGGACCTTGAAATCGGTGCTTGTAAGTATTCACGGGGGAAGCCCTGTGATGGCAACCTGGAAGCACGGCCCAGGCGCCCTCCGAGGCCCGGGGCGCCCACCGCCCACCGCCCACCGAGGACGGGGCGGGGCTCTGCGGGGAAGGCCGGCTAGGAAGGGCTTTCCGTAAACTGTGGTGAAAGGTGAAGCCACATGTGTGAGAGGAGTGAGGGCTGCATACAATTAAAAAGCCAAACCGTGACTTTTTTCATTTTTTATCGGCTGGCTCTCTACTGAAACTTCCACAGACACTCCAACAGACGTTCCGCCCGCCACACCGCTGGATGCCGGTCCGGGTGCCTCACTGTTAAGGTCAGCGTTGCGGGTTCTCAGCAGGTCAGTCCCTGCCCTGCCCCCGCCCACACACACACACAGAATAGGCTTACAGGGCATGCACAGTGCGGTGCCTGCTCCAATCCAAGCGACGTTTGGCCGCAGGATTGTCTAACCCAATCTAAAACACATACGCTCAAGATAAGACCGAGCGCCGCTTTTTATTAAGCAAAGTGCACATGTAACGAAGGATAATATTCAAACGCTGCACACCGACCGGTGCAGGTGCGGACCCACGTCCCGCCCTTTGAAGGTGGCGGCTCTCTGGGAAGCCCTTTCCCTAAACTTCAAGCAGGAGCCCCAGACCCACTTAAGCAACAATGGACGCCGCAAGCAAGCATCTCCAGCAGAAGGGGCGGTGGGTCCCGGGCGGGTGGCACCTCGGGCGAGCAGGGCGAGCCCCTTGCCAGGTCAGGATCGTCCCCCTCTCCGGGCGGCGCGCCCAGGGCTTCGGGGGGCGGGTGCCACTCACCTACGGCTCCCCGCCTCCTGGGACGAGGACCCAGCCGAGCAGGAGCGCCCGAGCGACGGCGGCCTTGGGGCAGGGAGCCCAGGGCCCGAAGGGGGTCGCCATGTCCAAGAGCTGGCGGCGAGGCGGGGAGGATTCTGTTGGCCCCGGAGGCTGCGGAGGCTGCAGGGGTTGGGCTGGAGGCGCCTTGAGCTGCGGGGATGGCGCGGGCGGGGAGCCCCGAGTGTGCAGGAGCCCGTGCCGGGCGCGCTTTAAAGGGCCTGGCGCACGCCCGCGCCTCCGCCGCTCCTCGGGACTCCCCGCCCCGGCCTGGGTCTCGCCGCTTCGGTGGGCGGTCCCTGGCGAGTCGACACCCCGGCCCCGCCTCCCGCTAGGAAACTCCGAGACCCTGCAAGGGCTGAATCACCCCTGATTCAACCGCGCCGCCAATCGCGAGTTCCCTTCGGCCGTGGCGGCTTCAGGTGCTGAGGGGAACCAGATCTCTCGGCCTCCCAGGTCCCCTGATCATCCAGCTTCCCGGCCACTGAGCCACCCAGGCCGGCGACTCCGATGTCCCACCTGAGTGAGCAGCAGGTCTGTGGGGAAGTAAAAGGCGGCGGTTGGCAGGAGTTCTCGAGGTGAAAGGAAGGGATTGCTCCCTTCCATTTGGCGATGCAATGTTGTCCCGGCGGCGGGAGCGCAGCATTTAGGAAGTTTAATAGAAAGTACGGGCTCCGGCAGCCGAGGACATTTCCCGGGCGTTTTGCCCACGTGGGGCTGAGCCTTGGAATCTGCAGCCAAGTAACGAGACGCAGCGCCCTCTTCCAGCTGCGGCTTCGTCTTCCACCCCGCAGGCAAGGACACCTGGCCGGCCTACCTCCCCGGGCCCTTAGCGTGGGTCGCATTCCACGAGGTGGTGCCAGCGCAGGTGCTCCTGCAAGTTGGAAGGTCAGTCGGCCCAGGCACAGCCCGGCCCGACGCGGGTTAGTGGCCGCGGAAGGGCTGCCCTCAATCTGGCAGTTTGCCTCTGGGAGAATTCCAGCGTGACATCTGCCGCCCAGTGGTTCCAGAAAGAACTGTTCTCACTTTGAAGAAGACATTTGCAGGATTGGCTTAGTTCCGTTCAAGTATAAAGAAACCAAAATGAATCAGACTTTTCATGCCACCATGTTAAGCTTTGTTTTTTTCTGAATTTTCTGGCTTCTGCTTCTGGGCTTTGCTGTAAAACTGTCAGGAAAAAATCATATTAATTCTTATTCTGCTGAGCAGCGTTGTCCGTGGTCTTGCCAAAGTACTTGCCTTGGTTCTTTATTGTTACTCTGTATTTGCCCCCGAGACAGACTGGGGGGTGTTTAGGAGAGTGGAGTCTGTTTTCCCTCCTTCCTTCCCTCCCACTTTTTTTTTTCTAGGGAAATTAGCCTTGCATTTTAGTGCATACTCTATACATACACATTTCCACGTAGCCTCCTGAGCTATATAGCATTACACCCATTTTAAAAGAAATCTTTGGAGGGGAGGGTATAGCTCAAGCGGTAGAGCACATGCTTAGCATACACAAGGTCCTGGGCTCAATCCCCAGTACCTCCTCTACAAATAAATAAATAAACCTAATATGTCCCTCCCCACCTAAAACTAAACATATAAAAGAAATCTTTGCAAAATTTAACTTTCCCAGTTTGCTTGAACTGAAATAGCACATCCAGGTTTAGCTCTTCCAGCCCATCCTTCCTGGAAGCTGGAAGCTCTACTTGCTGGTTTCCTCTCTGAGCTCTCTTTCAACTCCAAAACCCACAAAGTTTTATACTCACAAAGCAAGTCATGCAGTCCTTCCTTTTTGCAGACTCTGGCCTGAGTCATCTTCCCTAACAGATCTTTAGCCCCGCTTGGGTTGTGATTCTTTTCTGTGGAGTTGTAGACAGCTGTGAGAAAATGTTACATTTCAATCAAGTGCCTTACAAGACCCAGAGAATTGCTGCTGTGTCTACATAGTAATTGATTCCATTTGGAGCCACCGGCTGTCCTGAAATCATGAAGAGCCTTAACCGATGTCAAGATCAGCAACTTGACAAGAAAAAATGTTTAATGTTATATTGTGACCCAAAGGTGCCTTAAAGTTTGATAAATTAGATGAATATTTATTTTGCATATTCACTAACGTTATCAGGCAAGGAAGAGAAGGATTTGTTGGGTGTTAGCATAGGGTTTTGAGTAGAATATAGAATAACATTCTTCAAGATTTGAAAAATGCTAAAATAAAATTTCTATTTTCAAGAAAGGAATAAAACTGGCTATGGTAAACAACGTTGCAGAGCGAAGCTTTCTCCTGGTTGATCAGACTGTGGCCAGTTGATTTCTAGTGCTGCTCAGCACAAAGTACACCCCTAAAATTCTCTGTTGATATTTTTTGCACAGAAACAAATTGAAGGTTAAAATTATTCATTAACCTCACATAATTTTTTTTACCCCCTTCAATAAAGTCAAATTCAGCAGTTACCAATGCTCTCTTCTATTTGATACATCTTAGATACTCTGAGAAGTTCGAAAAGTTCCTAAATTATAATGATAATCAGGCTGGCCTGACAATCCCTTTATGATTAGATCTCAGAACATCAGAGGACTGGGGGGACCTCACAGACACGCTTCCGCAGGTGAGGTTCCCTCCCGTGGTCAGCGGGCCTGAGCGAACACGCCTGCCTGCGCTCACAGTGCAGATCTGGTCTTCTGCCCTAAGGAGCTTTCTTTCTAAGACCATGCTTCATGTCCCAAGACAGGGAAGTACGATTGGGTCACAAGCCCAGGCTTCCTTGTTGATTTATTTCTCCCTAGGCATCAACAGTGCTCAGCAGTGGGTGTAGAAAATGTTTGCAGTTTGGGGAACTCATTATTCTCCAGCAGAAATATTCTGCTGGCTTCTCCTTCAAACACACGTGTGGAGACATGTAGAAGAGGTTGCGTTCGTTGGCAAAACCGGTGATGAAATGTGGCTGATGAGGAGCCCGAGGACGACTGGGCGGGGTTGCAGCCCTTCCTCTCTGCTTGTGCAGTGCTGCCCACCAATTTCACCAGCCTGACCTCATTGAAAACTTTACTTGATTTCAGCTGATTGTTGTCTTTCTCACTAGAGGTCCTTAGGGAAGTGAGAACTGGGTTTTTCTTTATATTCCTCACACAATTACAAGCACCTGGTAGGCTTTCAGTGCATTTTGTATCAATGACTACTTTTTGAAACTATGCATGCAGCCAAATATTTTCATTCAAGAAATGAAATTTTGTCATTGAAATTTTTTTTGTCTAGCGGCAGGTAATGAATATTCCATAATCCTCAACTTGGTAAGAAAATAGACTACTATGGGCTGCAAGGCATCACTTGACAGTAGGCTCCAGCTGTGCACCTTAACGATTAATGATCCTGGCTACAGCCAGAAATCTAATCAGGAGGAGAGCTGGCTAAAGAGCTGAAAACAAATGTGAAAGTTTGAGAGCTGGTTAGCATTTTCCTGAAAGACTGGATAGTACGGGAGTCCCAAGATTTTTCAGCCATCTGATGAACTGTTGATAGCTGTTCTTGCATAGAAAGGCTTAGTAACTTTTCTGAATAAATTGCACAAAATGTCTCTCTCTCCAGGAAAGGGGTAATTTAAGCTTGATGATAAATAGGTGAAATTGAGAGTAATTCATATTAAAACTATTAAATTCACATGAAATAGTAAAAAAGAGCAATAAAATCATTTACCCCAAATTCAGATAAAAGGCAAAGTATAAAGAAAGGCCGGAGGAAATAGGGGTGGGAACATAGAGTGCTGGGGAAAAAAGTGACTTAGCAGAACCTATAAACCATCTGGCAGGGAATAGTGAGTCATGGAAAAACTGACAGTCATGAGTATGCATTTTGTGAAAGTAATTATATACTTGTCCAACAGCTAACATTCAGACCAAAATTAAATAGTTGAGAGCCCATACAATGAAATTTATTATCCTGGTCATTCAAAATACTTCTTTTAAATGTCTAGAAGAGTTTACAGAAAATTTTCCAAATAAGTTATTCCGTAGCACCAGTACTCTGAAAAGCATAATTTTAGAGAAGCTTCCAGTTCAAACTTTAGACAGAATTAGTGTTTTCAGCACACAACTATCTTCATAAATTTAAGGCTCATCAAAACTGTCAACTTTCATTTTGATGAACAGTGAATATTCATCATACATTCTCTACATACGATGTTGACAAAATAAATTAATGAGAAATGTAAATTGTGGATATTGTTTTAGTAACAAAAAGTTATTTAAAATTAAAAACTTTAACATATGTTCTTATTAACGTAACACTTGATTTAAAAGTTTTTATATGGTATCATGTTGTGTAACAATCTGTTAATTCCCCATTTCTATAACTCCTTATACCTGACTGTCAGGCTGCACCCCACAGGCCTGCAAGCCTTGTAGTTGCTCAGCCTCAAGACCGAAGAAGGAGCTTGGAAACAGTCAGAGAGACATCAGTGGTTTCACACGTGGGGGGTCTCACACAAAGGGTCCTGGCGTGACAGCCCACCACATGTGGCAGACAGAGGTCAGGACAGGGCAACAACCTTTGCTACTCAGGGGGGTGAGGGGGAGGCCACCACTTACGGGGGAATTGATGTCAGGTGGTCTCATCGGTTGCCAGGGACTAACTAAGCCCTACAATTAAGAGGACTGGATAGTCATGTGAGTGAAGCAGGGCCTGGTTGGGCGGGGGATGTACAGAGAACAAGGGAACAGTCATCCGGAGGGGCCTGACCTTACACTGACTTACACACTAATTTGATGAACAGAAATCCATTTATTCAACAGATGCTTGAATATCTTACCTGATGCTGAGTTCTCTGCTAGACTTTGGATATAAAACAAAAAGAGTCCTTTTCCTAGTATATTTATCATCACTCCTACTTAATGGTTTGAATGATTTGCTGTCAGCATTTTGAATTGGATGTGAAAAGTCTTAACAATGTTGTTTAATAATAAATTTTCTCCATGCAAATTAAAAAAAGTAAAATTTGGGTATGTCATAGTCCGCCCCCCAAACAGGCATCTTTAACTCAGAAAATCATCTATGGGCTCGAAGCACATGCACTTTATCAGATTGAATGTAT